CCACGAAGAAATCTCTGAGGATGAAGCAAAGCTCCCTCATCAGGAATTAGGTGGCGAAGGGAACTGATTTGATTTTTACTTACTCCAAGGATAGAAAACACTGTCTCCCTTTAGATTGGTGGAGGGAGCTGGTAGGACACTGGGCCTAAACACAAATGCTGGGGGAGTGTATCACCCTTTTGGCCTAAGAGGCCATGAAACTGTAGATTACGGCTGTATACGAAGCTAATACACGAATCCATTAATTAAAGATAATACTAGAAATGTGTGTGACTGAAAACAGTAATGCAAACTGAAAGGAAATTTTCGTGTATGAAGCCCAGAAATAAGACGTCCCATGCAACTTTCTACCTGACTACTGACGAAGGAAGATCAGTTTTTGTTAAAGTAATTGAAGATTGCCTTTCAGGAGTCGCCGATGATGATATCATCACATTTTGCTACACCACAAGAAAACAGATGTATTGTGTTGACATTGGCCGAAACGTCGTAGACACAAGGAAATCAGTGGGAAATCATAACCTTTACCCAAGGCTTCTCAAACATCTGGTGACACATACAGGTGGCTAATTTACTATCTTGAGAGTATCTTTCACACAAGGAGCTTTACGGAGTGATTGGTGGGATGAAATAATAATCTTCATCCCTAAGGGAGGATCTAGATATTGCCCCTCAGACTATAGGGCCATCGGTCGAATTAACATCTTAGGTTGGATACTGTAAATGATATTCAAGAAGGCCAACATGATATATTAGGAAAATAAAAACAGAGTATAGTATTCAAGGCAACTGGCTAGGAAAGGCAAGGTGAATTCCATGTGTGACGAGAAGTTGTTATCATGGGTTTCAATGAAGCTTTAGACAGAACACCCCAAAATTCTGTTTATGAGGTTGACAAGTTTTGGAATTATGGGCTGCATGCTCAGATAACCAAAAAATTTGGAGAGTGCTAAAAGGCGACAGCTACACACTTCACTCGTGGCAGGTCCAAATGATTTCAAGGCTCTTCCAAAGAATGAAAGGCATAACCAAGCGGATCGTGCAAACGTTTAAGGCCGCATTAGATATAGAGAGAATATCACTCCTACCCATTCAAACTCACACATCTGGCTGTTACTATAACAGATCACTTACAAACTACGCACACTGTTTTGTAGTCACAGTATTAGTTATTCACGGGCAATAGCCACACCCGTACTATATTTAGCGGTGAAGTGCTAACCAATTTACGCATATTTCTGGTCAGGTCAAAACTAAAAATCCGAGACTTTTCCCTGTCTAGAGAGAGTTCAAAGGAAGTTCAAGTGTGTGGCTCTTGCTGTAGCCTTTTTATAACGCGAAGAACGATTTCATTGTCTAAACCTCTTGTTCTTCACACTGAGTCACAAACTCATGGAACCAAAACCTTGTCCCAAACTGACTAGTATAAAGGGTTGTCAAACTAGCACCAATAATTCTCAGAGAAGGATTAGCATAGGTTTTAAGCTGTCTATCCCCTAACGACAATTTTAATTTGAAATCTGAATTAGATTTTGGACATTGCATAGTGCGGCCTTTATGCGGTGTACGTCACTTGACACGTTTGCAAATGGCAACACAAAAAGCTTTTGATCTTCAGTCTGCTTATTCGGATTTGAACAAAGCATGTACGGCTCAAGCGTATGAGAAGATTATTAACATCTCTGGGAAAAGTAGGTTGAAGATGACTCTATAAAAATGGGTTTAGTTCCAGATACTCAGTGAAAGTTGACACTAAGCTTTGGTCTAATTTTTATGTTTGCTTAGTAGTATTTTATTGATGTTTTTAACCTAAAATCCTGTATTTAAGACCATTGTTGACATATTGGAATTTGTTTTTTGAGTCACTTGCGGTGCACTGTCCTTCTTGAATTTATATATTTTTTCGCACGTTATGCCTTTTATATAGTCGCTTCTGTGGGCCGTTATGTCTCTGAATATGGAAGCTCTACTTCCTACTTTTTCATTACACTTCAGTAGTGTTGCTTTGCAGGTGGCATGTACGAGAATTATATTAAAATTCGTCACCGTCTTTCTAAAACTTGAGCTTATCAACTGCCGAGACGTCAAGGTCTGACGAACTCCCTTTTTTCAACATGCTTATGATAAAATGAGATAAAAATGGTGAAACTGGCATTATTAACGTGCAATACTGCTTGTCCTACCTTAAAGCTACAGCTCCTAACGAGCCGATGTTCCGAAATGAGTGCAAGCTAACTACCCTGGGTCGCATTAAATGCTTTGTCGGAACTCTTCACAATGACTTCTGATTTTGGAGTCGAGTGCTTGAATTCAGCCATAAAATATGGTATGTAAGACTCCGGTAAAACTGTCAGTGTTCAAAAACTTTTTAAAGAGGGAGTATTTGGTTTTGCTGTGATTATCACAGGGAATCTACATAAGTGTGATAGGACCTCTGGATTCCTATACACTGAATATTATTTTTGTTATAGTTTAGGTGTACAAAAACTAAGTACTCATCAACCGTTGAATTTGTTTTTTCATTTATATTTGACACTAAATCATTGTTGTGAGACGTCTGAGTTATTAGTTGTATATCTATTCTGTTTGTATGAAGTCATTTAATTAGTCTTTTATTGTTTAGTCCTTGCAAAACATCCGGATGAAGTTAAAGCCTTCCAATGCAAAGTCGTTGCATACATTCGTACCGAAAAGTATGAAGAGTGCTTAAGTTTTTTGAAGAAAAATTCATCACTAGTAAAGTATGTTCAGCAGTTTAGCGTTGTTCACTTAATTTCAGTCATGTGATTTTTGAAAAAGCCTATGTTGAATATAGGCTTAATCGTCTTTCCGAGGCTGCTAAAACTCTTGAATCAGCAGATATTAATGACCTGAAGGCTCAAGAACTGAAAGCTCAAGTGGTATGTTTTCATTATAGTTGCGAGTGTTTTACTTCTTCAGCTGTATAGAAAGGGCGATTTCGCTGGATCATACACATGCCTACGGACAGTGATTCGGAATTCTCAGGTTTGTGGTGTCTTTTTTCCTTTTATTTTCTCACAGGATGAGTACAGTGAAGAGCGCCTTACTAACTTAGCAGCAGTGGCTGCGGCTGAATCATGCTTTAACAAGTCATATTTAGTGAGGAAAAATTCTCAGCAATTATTTTTGATAGGATCTAGATGTTAGTCCAGAAATGTATGAAGGGAAGTTTAACGTGGCTTGCTATAATCTTGGACGTGGTGATAGTCAACTTGCATCTCAGTTGTTAGATGATGCTGAAAGTAAGTTGACTAAAGATCTTTGATCATCAATTTTAGACACATGCAACCTTATTTTATCTGAGGATCCAGAAGTAACTGAAGAGGAAAAAAATGAAGAATTAGCTCCCATCAGGTGAAATTTGTTTTTTATCGTTTTTATTTATTTTTTATAACAAAACTTTCCACTTGTCGAAAGAAAGTTGTTAATAATATTAGATTTCATCACACACCTGCATTATTTTGAGAACCTTCGGAAACTAGGGAGTAATAAACAACTTCATCCTACCTCGGGAATCTTCGCCGGCATACACCTATGGTCCCACTGGGGATACAACACAGAACCTCCAGCCTCTGACACGTCATCATTCAGCCAATGAGACAGAATTGAATGGTTCATGTATCGTAACTTCTGGTGCTGCATATTATGAATCAAATCCCTAGTAACTAACACTTGAAAATCCACTTTTATTAACTCGGGAAATACTAAGATGTCTAAAGTAATTCCTAGGATATTTTAGTCAATAACTACGTATGTTCTGCAGATTACATGATAATAGAAGACTCACTAATTCAGACAGTCTTCGGAATAAGTTAGAATTTTGTTAATCAAACCTCCAGATTACACTTTATTCACAAACAGTTACAACATTTATGTCATAGTGAATATATTTCTTACGAAATCAGTTTTATAATTGCGTTCTAGCCGGTTTTGTATGAAATAAATATCCACTTCTGTGGATTGACATCCAGGCTTCGTAATGGGCTTTGAAATTTGTAAGAGCTAACTGCACAAGTTTATGATATTCATGATTTGTGAGGTATATTTCCCAAATGTTGTCCCAATGCTATTGCAGACACTCTTCTTGGTGTCTTTTTTCGATTTAATTTTTCGGTGATTCCTGTTTAGTGTGGATAAGCTGGGACTAGTTTGGAAGCATTACACGTTGCAATTTTGAGTAAATCAGCAGTTCTTGCATAGTGTGTTTCGTAATATAGTGTATGCAGTTCCGAGCAATTGCTGAAAGCCGGTCAGTCCGGGAATACGTTCCTAAATGTCTGTCGATGTATGTTACTTGTTGCACAGCATATCTTTGTATTAGATGTGCGAGTTAAGAATATTTAAGATTAATAGAGTTATACAAGACAATATTACAGTTTCACATGAAGCTTTTAGTGGAGAATGCATGTTATCTCATGCACTTGCGAAATCGTTTTCTTAAAACATTCCTACTTAGTTTACTTTTTTATTTACTACCTGCTGCAATTAGCAACATAAGGTGAATTTACTTCACTATCTTCTTGAGTAGTAAAAACAAGGTAGGGGAATCATAGTCGGGAGATACTGATTCAAAAAATATGTGAAGGATTTTACTGACTGCGTCATGCTATTTCCCCGGAGATTGATTGTAAGTGACTTCAGTAGACACCAATTGAAGTCCTTATTTGCAGATAGACGCCCTATTATTAATAATTTTTAGTCAGGTTGGCTATTTTCTACTTTCTCTTTGCCTTGTTTCAATAGACTGTACAACAGTGTCATATCACTGACCTTACTGTTTGCATATCCTAACCAATGGTCTCATTGCGGTCCACACATTTCCAGCTGGACAGATAATTAGTCAACTTATTGGTATTATATTTCTCAACATTATTTAATCGGAAATATATTTCATCACTAAACGTTTTGAAACTTATTTTATGATTTCTAATTGTAGAGTTCAACGAGCATACATTTTACAGCTCAATAAGAAAGAAGAAGAAGCCAATCAACTTTATCAGTCGGTGATTCGACAAAGGTAAATGTTTAACTAATCTTATATTATTATTATTATGAAATAGTATCACCATAGGTTTTGTAATATGAAACAGATTTTACCAAGCGTCTGAAAGTTTTCGTCTTGTTACACATAAACTAGAATTTTGACAGAAATATTCCAGTATATTTTGAAACAAAACAGTGTTTACAAATTCTATGAACAGTCATGTGAAGATATGTGGAGTTCATTCACTGAATATGGTGCTGGTAGTTACATAATATCGGTGAAAAAGTTAGTCATAAAAGACAACTAGGTTGTGAGAGAATTCATATTTACCCCAGCTTTTCTGATATTTGATTTGAGTTGCTTTCAAAAAGATGGTTGCAGCTTGTACCTTACTCCAGGGGACCCTCGTATTGTGGGCCGTTTGACATACTTCTTTTTTGGAGCACTTAAACGGCCGGCTTGCTTAGCTAATTCAATGGTTTCCGTCTATCAAAGGAACTCAGTACAATTTCATTAAAGTGATTCGCAGTTATAAAATGTTACCTTGATTTATGAGAGGTTTATCTCAGTTGTTCATCATACTACTTAACTTTCTATCTTACGATATTTGAGTTTTTTTAAATCGTTTTCAATCAATTAGTAGTCTTATACTGTCTCTGATACAAGATACTGTAGGATACGAGACAGTGATACATTGATTATTATAGTTACATTTGACAAAGCAGCACAAAATAGTTTTTTTCACTCACAAGACTTACATGGATGGTTTCCTTATTACTACATTTTGCTTTATTTTATTTCTTCGGCTATTTCGATAAAAATCAATTCGCCTGACGAGACTAGTTGCGATTGTATATTGACCTAAGACAAATGTTTATAGCGAGGCACTCTTATCAGGTATTATTTCAGTATATATTATGCAAATAAATGCTGACTGTTATGCACCTGATATCTGCCTTTTCTTCAATATTAGAGTTTCCGACCCTGCACTTCTTGCTGTAGCTGCAAATAATATTGTTTGTATCAATCGTGATCAAAATATATTCGATAGTCGTAAACGTATTAAAATGGCATCTACAGACGGTTTACAATTCAAGCTTTTCCCACATCAGCGTAATGATATGCTTGTCAATCAGGCTTTATTCTACTGGTACACAAATCAAGTAAGTTTTAATTTGATAAGTACTGAAATTCGCTTTTACACTGGATTTCTTCAGCTTATATTTCTATAGTTTGTTTTTATAGTTTCATTGTAATGCTTACTTGCATAAGTGTGTGAATTGTGAAAGCGAAGATATGGCTCATTGACTTAAACAGTCGACTTTCAGTTAATGGACCCCGAGTTCGAGTCCCAGTTCATCTGCTTCAGCCTGAGTAACTAGGTAGGTATGTTCAGCCCTCGAACAGTAAGTGTAGCTCATGGCACAGTGGTGGTGGTTGAGTTCAAATTAGCTAACTAGCTAGTAAGGTGATTATGTTCAAAATGCACAACATCACATTCACTTAATTAAAAGTTGTAATATACTGTAGGGTCTTCAGCATGTACAATGGACTCGAATTGATTCTGTCTGTATAACGATTTTTGCATTAAAGCATTGTAGGTTGTGATAATTTTTCGGCTTATATAAATACCTAAATATCTAGTAGATTTTCGTGAAAATGTTTTGTTATGTACCAGTTACACCTGAAAACACTGCAAACATAGATCTTACTTGTACTGTTTATTAATTTCTATGTATAAAGCTTCGGATGTAATATGTCAGAAACTGTCAACCTACTGAAGTAGAAGATGCAAATCGTATCTACATTTATCTGGGAGAATATTGTGCTTTAGTAACATTAGAATAAGTGTATTTTATTATGAAACATACATATTGGAAGTAAATATGAACTTCGAATATTTATTTTCTGAATATAAAGTAAGCGATTATGCCAACACCTTTAAGATTACTCAAAACAAGATTTCAGTTTCTTAATAGAGACGTATTTTTCTTGGTGCCAGAACTGTATTAAGTTAGTTTTAGAGACTAAGTCATCTTCATGCCTCTTCTGTCAGAATGTTGATTTCTACATTGTTTCCAACTTCTCCGAATGGAGATTATTTTGGTTCTGGTAATGAACTCAGCGTAAAAAGTGTCGGCGAATCCAACGTGTCTATTTCAAATGACACTGTCTTTTGAATGATATTATTGTCTCAAGTTGCTTGCCTCTGGTCACACCACAGCAGCATATGACCGTAATGGAGTTAAGCGCCTTGTTACCAGTCTCGTCGACTTAGACTACGTGGATAATATTGTCTTCCTAGGTAAAGACGCTGACAAAATACTGAGTTTTCTGAACACCTTTGGGTGAAATTATAGTTTGACATACTATTCATCCTCGTCAAATGTAAGATAATGCTCCAGGACTGGTTTCCACCGACTTCTAGAGTGAAGTGGCTGAGCGTGTTGACAGTTTCACTTATTTGAGAATTTGCAGCATCCATAGTGAACCGATCGATGAAGAAATCTCAGGACAAATACAAAAAGTTAGTGTAGGATTCACCAACTTATGTCATCTTTGGTGTGTATGAGTTATCCGGCTATCGACCAAAGGACATGTGTATTGCGCAGCAATCCGTTCTATCTTTCGTTATGACTGTAAGACATAGCAGTTGAAAAGGGAAGATATGAAAGGGTCAGATATCTTTGACCACAGATGTTTTCTTTCTGTTTCCTGTATTAAGCGGTAAAGTATAACGCGTATTACCGAGGTTAGGCGTAGAGTCTTAGGTAAGGAGGGTAAGTCGATCGATTAGGTTGTGAAGCTACATCAGTTAAGCCATGTGTTGCACATTCCGAGCCACCGTCTTATTCATGCAGTATTGTTGGCTGACATAGGATTAGATTGTAAAAGGGTCATGAGTGGTCAAATGAAAACCTGACATCAGTCCATGTAGTCTTCGACGGCGAAGTTATAATAGCATAGCCAAAATCACAGCGAACTTGGACAACCAATTGAAACTGAGATGCGAAGGACTCCCATAATGGTTCGAAAATGTATTGAAAAACATTGTAATTATGTAACAACAGAAGAGCATTTGGTAACAGAATTATTTATTGGCAACTCGACACACACATACAAAACACGTCTACGACAGACAGACTACCATATGTAAGAATCACAATCTCCACATACTTTCAGTATAGTGCTGCTTTGTCTTCTTTGCATGTCTTCCATGTTGTTTCATAGGCATCATTCATTAAATCTCTCCACTATTTGATATTCTTGCAGTTGATATACATATTTACATCTGTATCTATATGCTACGTATGAATCGAGTCAGTAGCACACGCCACAAATATTATGTTACACTGGACAATTTTCTGTTATGTGTTGTAAGAATGTTTCCCAGTTACTCCAAGGATAATCCATAGAGGAATCATACCATGCGCGATAGATGTATTCATCCAGTTAACTGTGGATTATGGTACTTTGGAATCCGTTGATATTCTTAACTCTGTTCTTTGATCTATTCTTAGCCCTGACTCTAAACCTTAGGAGGAAAAAGTACTTAGGGAAGAAGTAGAGTACTGTACCTACCCTTCTCTTGTGATATGATTTGATTTGGAATGACCTTTCGTAGTGCTTTCTAAGTCTGATTGGTCGACTTTTGGCAGGCACTGACTTTGGTTACAGTACTTTAACTTTGCCCTTCGACAGTTGTGTGAGATAATTAAAAAATAATAACAATAATAATTTATTCGACTTTCAGTAAACGTTATGAGATGGCTTTTTATTTTTCATAGATGGAAGCATGTACATCCAGACTTCGTGCACTTTTGCAAGAAGAATCAAATCCACGTGCATTACTCCTATCAGTTGCACAGTTGGTTAAGGAGAAAAACATAGATAAAGCAATATCCCTTTTAGAAGTGAGTTGTTTTTGTATAAATTGTTTTTATGGTTCATATTTTTTTATTTTACTACTGTCTTAGTATGTTTCGTAATCGTATTTGGTGCATTATTATTTTATGCATTATGTTTTGCTTGAAATTAATGAAACTACTTCTGTGCTGCGATAGTTGTGGAATGTCTTGCTATAATAATTATTTATACTTGTTAACGAACAGTTTCTCATATTTTAAATAACACGATCCACTTCTCTAGACAATATGAAGTGTTACTGAAGATGATAAGTGTGCCTGTTGGTTTTCAACATAGAACTTTGCACCGATGTGCAGCAGTTCAAGTCGCCACACTCCCTCCTTGTAGCACACAAAGCAAGAGAAGAAAGTAGAAGAAATGCAAAATAGAGACAGTAGATAGGGATATGAAACAAAGGAATAGTAATAACGAAGAACAATATAGTTTCAATGGAAATTATAAGTCACGAGGAGTGGATGCATCTGCACCAGCCATTGACAACGATTTTGAACCATATCACCAATTGCCACCAGCCTTCATTGGTTTTTACCATCCTCAGGACCCTAACCAGGAAGTCTACACCTTCCTACATGGCTGGCTTAAACTAACTGTTGTGGATTTCATTGGCTGGTAATGATGGTAAGTAGAGTTTAGTTGGAAATTGTCATCAGTTTTAACCATCGCCGTTATCGAAAATGAGGTCTAGGTAGATCGGTTTCTCATGTATACCTTTTTATCCCTACGAATATATCATAAATCTTTCCTTTCATCCGCTCTATAACTCATCATTGTTGGAACTATTTTTTAGGATTATCTATCCAAAGTTTCTGGTTCATCTACTGCGAAGGATAGTGAAATGAATGTGGAAGTCCTTTTGGCACTGGCTCAGTTAAATCTTCGTAAAATGTCTTCAAGTCACCTGGCGCATGGTATTCCTCATCCTATGAATGCTTTAAATGTAGCTAAATTGCTGCAAGATCTTCTTCCAGAGCATCTTCTTCATTGCCCAGGAGTTCTGTCTACACGCATAGCTTTATATCTACTAGCATGTGCTGGTGATAATGCCGTACAAACACGTGCAGACAGCATGAAACAAATAGTCAGTTGTATTGAGTCTGCTCTGCATTTTTATGAAGAATCAGAAGATCGGGTAATTCTGTTTATGAAATTATACATCTTAAATATTTACTATCTCTTTTGTTAAAAATGTGTTAGTGTTTGTCAAAAGATTTTTGAAATTGCCTAAGAACTCACATCCTGGTGGTAAATGTCTGCTTTTCCTATTTATGATCAGGCATCCGGTGTAACAAACTGACCAGTGTTTTCAGTCCTTCATCTTTATGTATGAGCTCTATAAAATTAATGTAATGCTGGCTAGTGACTGGCTGAAGGACGAAGCTGCCTGGAGTTCTAGTGAGAAGTCATTACCAGTGGAGTCCACCTGGTGGGGAGTGAGGATGCATACTCGCCAAAGACATTGGCTAGTGGTCGCGCTAAAATCGCGAACTGGTAGAAGTTGAAATTCATAGGTTATTAAATCGGGTTCTGATAGCTGAATGGTCTACTAACTTGACTTGTAACCGGAATTTCTCGGGTTCGAACCCGTGTGGGTGCATACTGGCGAGGAGTCCCAAACTGAGACGAAGTGGTTGTCCAACGCTCTCTGGTTTCCCAATTGTGTTTCTTAACTGATAACAACCCATGATCAAACTTGAAACCAACCAAACTCCGACAAATTAGCTCTTGAAAATAAAAGATAGTAAATGCAACGAAAACTGTATTGATGGGTAATTTACAGGATGCTCAAAAACCACTGACTTGTATGTTATCTAACTATGTATACTGTTTGAACAGAACTGTAATTCGAAGAGGAAGAATGGTGAGTTCTAGCAACCATACATATAAGGTATTCGTATAAGTTGCAAATATGATTATTGAATTTCATCTCATACTATCCAAACAACTGTGTTTGTGATGCTTATCTTGGCAGATGAAGTCATCTGATCACTTTTGCGGCGTAGGTAGTAGAGTAATTACTAAAATTATTTTAGTTTACGGTGACCAGTAGTAGAATCCGGGGTTCACATTTCGTCCCATTTGAGGCTCGTCAACCGGATATACCTGCATCCCCAATGAGTGATGGCGTCCCCCCCACTGAAACTCAAACCCTGTGCTTGTCGTCTCAAACGCCAAAGCATTAGCAACTAGGCCATGAGAACACATGGGTTGCGTAGTAACAATTCAGGTAGCTACACAGACTGGCACGAAGCATCTTAATGTGTGTGCATATATCAAACACACAATGTACTTAATTTTTATAATTCTCAAGTGATCTCAGACACATTAATGAACATACAACTAGTTATTATCACACATATGGGAATAACCAGTAGAGTTAGAGTGCTGCATATATTAATTCATCACATATAACTGTATATAGAATTAAGAAGCGAATAGACAAGTCAGTATGACTCATTTATTTATGAATGAATTTCAATGTATGACTGTATGTTCATTCACAAGTCAGTACACTAACCCACCATCTTGTTTGTGTTTCATTTTGCAGTCAAACATTGTTAACTCACCTTGTTAATTTTCCAACTCCTCAAAATTGAGTTGTATTCCATCTCCTACTGCGCTTACATGTGTGAACGGATGTATATTTAGATTTCAACATGCTGAATATGTCATCGTCATATCTCCACCACACTCTAGGAGCAGGATTAAATGTTCTGAGAGCTTTATGCTCACAACTATCCGTAAACATGTCTGGTTATTACTGGGGCTATCGGTGATTCCATTGTCACCCCACTTGTTTGTTTGTATATTTTGTTTTGACATTTGACTACAGTGGAGATTAAACATAACTGAATTCCAAATATAGTCATTTCACCAACTGAGAGTTTAGTCCTAATTTTTGAGTTCAAGATAAATATCTAGTTCATTTCTAACTATCTCCACAGAGCTTTATTATTTGGGGTTATTATTGTACAAACTGGTTATATCGAATCTAATCATTTTTTACATCTTTTTCTATTTGAATTTCCTCTAGTTTATGTTTCATATTACATAGGAATTAGTTAGCCTAGAATCTGACCTATCTCATTTGGGGATATACTCCACGACAGTGCCCAAATTTTACTCATATCAACGTTAATTTTAATTATCCTGTATCAAAGAGTTAATTAACAAAAGAAATACCTAAAAGACTTTTACTAACAGTTTACCAGTTTATTCGATAAATCCCATGTGTGCGTCGGTGGCACAGTGGTTAGGACTCTCGCCGACCATACACATGGTCCGGGGTTCGATCCCCTGCCGACACACACCCGATATCAATGGTCGGCCTGCGAAATTTGGGCTACTGATATCACATGCTGAAAATTCCATACTTGTACCAAAAATACGGTGTGGAATTAAGCTGTAATCAAAAAAAAAAAAATAAAAATAAAAATGTACTACAAATTTGAATGTATATGGTTACTTTCCAACCATTGCTGGTCTTCATATTTTCTATCGTCTTTATGTTGAACACTTTCATGTAGCCTTGCGTATCTATTCTGAATTTCACTTTCAGGGTGAAGTGTACTCACACCTACTGGATTATTGTGGAACATTTTTACTACAACAAGGTGAAGCAAAGCTTGCAGCAGAATTACTTGAGAAACAGTTAGCTCAACTTGAGCTAGGCACTAAAAACAAGTCAACTGATAAACAAAGCAGCTTGTTAAAACAAGTACTAGTTGCTAGATTAGTACGTGCTTATGCTCAATTCGATCGTCCGAAAGCTGAACAAGCCTGTAAATCTCTACAACCAAAGGAGTCTTTATCAGAAGCTGATGTGGATACACTTGAGACTGCCTTCTTGTATGGTGCGAAGTCTTTTAAACGTCTTGGTAAAACTAATGAGCAAACAGATGCTTCAGATAAACCCAAATCGAAACAAAATCAAGCTAGAAAAGATGCTTCTGGGTAAGTGATAACTAGTCAGTGTGAAATTTCATATTTCTGAGCTTCGATTCACTTTTATTACATATATATAACATGTTCACATTATAAGAAAGAAATAAAATTTCATGGGGTAGACCACCAGCTCTTTGGTTTAACTCAACAAGCTGACGTACTCATGGAATCGAAGATATTTGGTTCTTGTACGCCTTAGAACAAGTTAATAAAGGAAAGGGGAGGAAAATTCAGATAGCTGCATAGAAACATTTTATATTATCTAAGGGTGAAATGTGCTTAATAGTATAAGAGCACTTAAATTCAATCCTAGGGTCTATTGAACTTGACCAAGGTGCTGTTGTCTGTCCTCCTCTTTTTCCTTTCTTCTTACATGACTTGCACCTTTCGTCAAATACGCTGATGATGATCTGGCTGTTTCGTTACTCCTTAATTCCCGATCTGACTGTTCCTAACTGAAAAGCTTTTTGTGGGACATCAACCAGTAGTTAACCCTGAATAGTCTTACGTTAAATCCCTCCAAATGTCAGACTGTTAACTTCATCTTCAGGTATAAACGTGATCTACGCGAAGCGGTACGTCCACAAGATGCTTGTAGCATAGAGGGTACTGAAATAGAAACTAAATCAAGTATTAAATACCTAGGAATAGCTCTTTCCTCTGACCTTTCTTGGTCGTCCAATCTCTTGTTGATTTATAAGAAAATGTTCCGTCTGACCTACTGCATTAAGAAGTTAAGACGATAAGGTATCACTCAACCTCTACTTTTACAGTTTGTTTACTGTTACATCTTATCTGTTGTTCTTTATTGCTCACCATTAGTCTTTCCTGAACTACTCAAAAGGGACTGTGTCATACTGCGAAGGGTATTGAAGGTTTTCAGTAGAGCAAGTAGTGTACCACTAGGGGTGACCTTGTTACTACTGTAGTTGACAGACACCTAAAATCATGCGAGAAATGGGCTAAATCCATATTGTCTGACTCTCAGCACCCTTTTTATTCACAACTCTCCCCTTGCATATAATCAGGTAGGACTCGAAGTCATTATAAAAGATTATATTCTAGGGTTGGTTTGCGGGGATTTGATCGGTTGCAGGATTTCATCATGAGCTGACATCGGTTGAAGAACCATTGGAAAACCAGCTGGGGGTACTGGACAGCTGTCTCGTCCTAGTTTGGGACTCTTCATCAGTACGCAGTCACCATGGGGTTCGAACCCAGGACCTTCCGGGTACAAGGCCAGCTCGTAGACCATTAGGCCATTGAAACCCTATCCAATCGCCCGCCCATGAATTCCAACTTTTGCCAATTCACGATATAGCGCGACTACTAGATTATATCTTCGCACAACTAAATACACAGAAACTCAGCAATACCCTATCTGGCCAGTGTTCTATGTGGTAGAGGAAGTGTTAGGTGTAAAACTTGTAACTTACTATTTAATTAACAAAATAAATGCCTCATTGAACTTCTATTCGCAATTTCAGAATGACTCTGTCATCTTACAATTTTAGCTATTATTGTTGTTGTTGTATACTCGCATAACTGGTCCGCCAAGGGAGAGGACTCTCGAGTGGTTGCGCCACAGGATAATACTGCATGCTCCTCTCGCAAGAGGCAGGAATAGGTGTGTCTGGTTCTCCTGAAAACCAATACCCATTAAATGGGTGTACCAATATGTGAATTTGTGCATCGGTGGTTCAGTGGTAGAGAGTGCTAGCCGACAGCACACGTGATCCGGGGTTCGAGTCCTGACCGGTGCACCCCTTTACCTTCCTTGGCCGGATATAATCCCAACAAAGAGTGAAGGTTGGGCGTGAGGCTACCAACGCCACCCCGTAAAAAACACCACTGCTACTGAAACTTCAAAGCAAAAGCTTGGAACCCTATGTCCCACTGGGATCGCAAAGGAATAGAAAAAAATTTACTCTTTGTACATTTCCGAATTTATTGTCACTGCTAATGCCAAGTAAGCTGCTATTATCAGTTTTGGTTACCTATACCATGTAATATTTTTTTGTTGTTGAGTAATTTGGATGCAATATTTTACCGAATACTGAGAATTCCATGCTGCATCGTAAGTACTACTTGGGAATAAAGTAAATTGTTTTATTATTATTACTATTGTTATCCCCAACAGCTTTGCTTAAAGATTCATTCTGGTCTTTCACTTATATTTATAATATTTCTTTATTGCAATACGTCTTATATCTTTTTTTTGGCTGTAGCATTCCTTCTCCAGAAAATGCTCCCGTAGAACAAGTTAAAAAACGATCTAAACGAAAAAAGAGGAAAATTCGATTACCAAAGAACTACCAACCAGGAGTTCTTCCTGATCCTGATCGTTGGTTGCCTCGAAGAGAACGCACTCATTATCGTGGCAAACGTCGTGACAAGCGCTATGCGCCTACACGTGGTCCACAGGGTCAAGTAACTGGTGGAAACGAGTGGTATGTAACATTTGTGGTTCATATGCAATATAGTAATATGTTAAACTATGCATTATTGATTAAGCCGTATCAATAGATTTTCTGTATGAAACTAAGCAATGTGAACCCTTGTATGCTGGTATACTGATAAAAGTGTGGACAACGTCTATAAGAACTGTCCTAGTAGTGATATCAGCGACTGAATGACTTATTTACTAAATAACATGAATTGCTTTATTCTATTCAATGATATCATACAGATTGGAATTTCCAGCGTTGTTTATTCTACAAAGCAACCAATTTACCCTTTTCCCAAAAGAAATAACCACAAAATATGCAGTTCCGCTAAGTCAAGAATAGTCATTTGATTAATGTTTGTATACTCAACTGTTCGTTGTTATTCACCACAGTATTATCTCTTGATTCTTTTGCGGACACAAAATGTGATAGATGGAAATGCGCGAGTAAATATGCTACGATTTAATGATATTTTCATGTGATTAAAATAAAAACAAATAAGGCGGTATGAGTTCAATCAATGAAGGTATTTTGGTAGCTTAAAGTCCAATCAGTGCGTCGGTGGTTCAGAGGTAGAATCTTTGCCAACCATGCACGTGTTCCGGGGTTCTATCCTCCGCCGATGCACTTCTAAACCTCGCCTAACCGGTAGTAAGTCCAGTAAAGAGGAATGATTGAGCGTGACGCTAGCAATCGCACTCCGTAAAAAGGAATAACAGCACTGCTGTTGAAACTTTAAACATTAAAGTACTCTGTTTCACTGGAAATCCAAGCGAATAAAAATTGAAAAAAGCTTCAGCAGAGGTCGTCAAAGTTATATTGTGGTGAGAGCTGTCTGCAAGCCAAAATTGTAGACAACAATTTACACCAATGTTGACGTGCCGAATCGGAGTCATGAGAAAAAAACAATAACAAAGCTTAACCTTGAGGAACTCACCAACCAATCACAGCAGACTTGACGTGTGCAAATACGATTTGTAGATTTATGGCCTGACTTTCTAAGAAACGGACACAAAGAGATGAGAGAATAACCTTCAGCAAGAAAACAGTCAGTTAGAAGACGTTGCTTCTCTGTTAACAATAACGAATAATAATGTACATATGAATCTATAAATATCTCTTGATTTTCTCAATAAACGATCTGTTGCCTGGCCCTTATCTTGTGTCGTTACAATATGAACAAAAAAAGATCTTGGCCACAATGTGGACATTATTTGTATTCTAGTTTTCAGTAATTATTACAAGTGTAAAGTCCTTCTTTACATTAGTGTTGATAATGCTTTGTCCTACTAGTCGAATGATTATTGGGCTAGCCGCCACCACCCTGAAAGAAGGTCCTGCGTTTAATCCCAGATGGATTCATGGAATAGGGCGGTGTAATCAGGTCGATTCATTCGTGCAGTTATCAGAAATAAGTATAGTTAACATCAAGCTTCTTATACATCATAATATTTTTAAACTTATTTAAATTTCATTTTAGGGATGCGGCGGCTCGTAGTCCGAAAGTCGTCCAACCCCGTGAAGATACTTCAGCAGGATCCACCCCGAAACAACTGTCTGGTGCTGCCAGACAACAGCAACAAAAGAAGGGTCGTAAGAAAGGCCGTTAATATCTTTTGTCAAATGTAATGTCAACCATAGATTCATATACATATATATTCTGTCCAAGTTGTAGTGATTAACAGAAGTACATTGTGTACAGTTACTTCAGTATACTTGTGTACATTTGCTTCTGCTTTATCGTATTTATAATTTTCTTTTGAAGCCTCTGTTTCATCACTTAAAATAGTTTCGCCTCTCAGTACAGTCTATTTGCTGTATTAGGCTGTTTACATTGAGCTACACTGTGAGCATAATCCAAATATCGGTTTGTTTGCTCTGCATATGTTTATTTATTTTGCTTTACTTGTGTAATATGGTGTCTTTCCTCTCTTTTGCGTTACGCCTTTTTTGTGATCACTGTGTATATCTTGGGTCATTTCTATCTATCGTGCATATATCATGCTCTGGTTAATAATTGTATTCGTGTTTTAAAATGGTTGGGTTTTCAAGGGATCAGGTAAATTTTATGCATTTTGGATTTATCGCGTGACTTATAATGTTACCCTGATACATATATTCTATTAGCAATTTTTTGTAAAAGACTCAACGTACGATTAATATAGTCGTATTGTTTTGAATAACTGACTGACTGGTTTCGACGTAGAACTTTGCACTGATGTGCAGCAGTTCCAGTTGCCACACTTCACGTAGCACACAAAGCAGGAGAAGAGATTAGAAAGAAATGCAAAGTAGAGATAACAAACGGAATTGTGAGTGAGGCAAGAAGAATACTAATATGGAAGAATAATAGAGTGCTTTTGGATATTGCGAATCACAAAGAGTGAATGCATCTGCGCCAGCTATCGGTGAGAACGATTTTAAGCCATATCACCAGTTGTCTCTGGCCTTCATTGGTTTTACAACTAACAGTTGTGGATTTCATTGACTGATGAAGACATGTTTTGGTTTGACCACCACTAGCTCTCTCTTTTCCAACTTGATCCAAGTCAGTCAGCTTACATTGACCCTCGAGAAAGGCGATGGCGAGGTATACGTAATACATGTCCTAACCATTTCAGTCGATGCAACTTCACAGCCTCGTCGACTGATTTCTCCTTCCACCCACCTAGCACTCGACCGATGCCTTACCTCAATATTGCTCATTCTATTATACCACTTCACACGGGAGATAGAACACAGGCACCTATGATGAAAGACAGTTAATCCGACTTTTCATGTCTTCCACTTTCAATAGCCATGTCTCATAGCCATAAAGGAGGACAGAGCGGACTACCGAGCAATACACACGCCCTTTGGTCAACGGCCGGCCGGATATCACGTCTAAGTCAGAGACGTCGTAAGTTGACAGGCGATTGTCAAGCGAGCCTTCTATAACCGAGTCGAGATTTCATCAGCGACCAACCCGTTGGCACTGAGTGGTGCGACTCCCCGAATAAATGAATTGAAGTGGTCAACGCGCTTCACCAACCACTTCACTCCTGCATATCTTTAAGCTAGGAATAGTCGGTGTAGTCCAGTCCTGCAGTCTCATCGTTTTACATTTAGTGGGAGCGAATCGCATGCAAACATTCGAAGATTGCTGCTCCTCAAGGTGTTCAGAAGACTCTGCTCTATTTTGTCAATGTTTCCATCTAGAAGTACTATATCATCTGCATATTCTAAGTCAACGAGATTATTACCTGGTAACAGATCAATCCCTGAGTCGCTGAAGTCACTTAGGGTTGAGTCTATTGGTACATCTATAATGAAATTTTTTTGATTATAGCTTGATTCCACACCATATTCTTGGTACAAGTATGGAATTTTCAGCATGGATATCGGTAGCCCAAATTTAGCAGGCCGACCATTGATATCAGGTGTGCGTCGGCAGGGGGATCAAACCCCGGACCATGTGCATGGTCGGCGAGAGTCCTAACTGCTGTGCCACCGATGCATTGAAATTGAGTAGAAATGGTGATAGTGGGCATCCCTGTCGAACACCACAAGTTGTCACCAGTTCAGATGACAACTTGCCGTAAGCTCTCACCTGGCTGCATGAGTTAGAGTACAGTGAGTCCCCTGATCAGTGTATGTATTTTCTCGTTATTACCTTCACAGACAAACATCGCCAGAGTACCTGTCGGTCGACAGAATCAAATGCTGCCTTCAGGTCAAGAAATATGATGATCTTTGAACTCCGGTGAGTATGCCTATGTTCGAGAATCTGTCTAAGGGTGAAGATGTGGTCAATATACTTTCTTCCTGGTTTAAAGCCTGCCTCGTTCTCTCGTGTTTGTTCTTGTATATCGGGATAATCAATGGCTTACACCAACCCAATGGGACTTCCTCTGATTCCAAGACTATGTGTAGTACCTTAGTTAATGCAGACAGTAAACTGTCTCCACCATACCACTGGAGTCATTCCATCAGGTCCTGCTGCTTTGCCTCGTTTCATATTAGTGACAGCCTCAGTAACCTCAGGGACGGAGGACCTGTGTCTATATCCCATTTAGGAACGTTTTGGATGCTGGGTAGGTTGAGGTTGCTGTAGGCCAGTTAAACCGCTCCTCAAAGTGTTATTTCCAACGTTCCAGTCGTCTATCCTGGGAGCTAATTATGGTGCCAATTTTCTCAGAGACTGTTTCACTTGTCATTTGCCTTTTACCACCTGTTTCCCTGATAAGTCGGAATAGTTATTTGGTGTTACTTATCGCCGACGCCTTTTCCATCTCTTTCGCTCTTGTCGCCCACTGCTGTTACGGTCGTTGCGAAGGCTTCTTGTTAGTTTGCATTTGAGTAGCTTTCGTTCCTCATCATATTCAGAAGTCGCCGGAATTAGTCTTCCTGCCTTAATCAGTTCGTATGAGGCGGTAGAGATCCAATGGCTTTTACTAACTTGAGGTTTTAGCTTATTAACAGCTTTCACAGCTGTGTCCACAGCTAACTGTATGTTGTGCCAGGCTACCTCAGGGGAAGTCCTGCTGTCGACCTCAGAAACTCGTTTCGCTATTTCTTCCTTAAATATGGACTCAGTGTCTCGATCTAGTTGGGGACGTAACTGTTTCGCTGCCGTCAATTTCTTATGTCCATTTGGTCGTAAGCATAAACGTGGGCGAACCAGAGCGTGATCAGAGTCTATGCGCGTGTTTCAGAAGAAGCGACAGTCTCCTATTGACCCTCGCCAACGATACCCTATGGCTATGTGGTCTATCTGAGTCCAGCGTTGATTTGGTGATGGAGGTCGCCAGGTTACACAATGTCTTTCTTTGTGCCTAAAGTTAGTGCTAACTAGGAACAGATGATTATCTGAGCGAAACTGTAGAAGACGATAACCGTTGTCATTTCGTCGTATGTACCATCTATATACTTCTCAGTCTGGCATAACTTCCCTACTTGGGTACTGAAGTAGCCTGCTAAAACAACGATATCTGAGCGTTTTGCTTTTTGCAGCAAACTAGACAGTTTCTGGAACAAAATCATCCTTTAGTACATCAGGACTGCAGTCTGTTGGGGCGTAAGGAGAGACTATGAGAAGACAACGACGGGTAATGTCGTCCTTCCTTCTTCTAACGAACCCGTTCAGACGGACGGTACACATACGACTATCTACTAGGTTCCAGTCAAGAAGGGATTTTTCTGCCCTAACACCCAGTGCTATCCCTATACCTGCGAGTCCTCACGAACTGGCTGAGGAGTCTGCTGACACCTTTAAAGTGAATATGCAAATTCACCTTGTTGGCCGGATGGGGTTAACTGAATAACCACACTCAGGTCTTGTGTACATGTGTCCGAAACACAACATACATCCCAGCTGGAGATGTCAGAGTTCTTGCTAGTGATGTCTGTTGTCCTATTTGGCAGAGGGGCCTGACGTTCAAAGCTCCTATATGAAGTTGGCGACGTGGCTGTAAGAGGCAATCGGGGAGTTTCTATGGCTTTCGTCGTTGTTTGTGGTCACAGAGTGAGGTGAAGATGATTCACTAGGCTGCAGAATAGTACTGACAGTAGTGGGGGACAAGATGATGAGGATGACAGGGATAAAGGAGGAGGATGATCAGGAGGGTTTCTTGTGCTTTATGCAAGTGAGTGGACGGTTGTTACTTCCCGGCTACCCACACTGTAGAAGTTGATTGAGGCTTCGCGTACCTGAAACAGAAAGAGAAGTAGTGTTGCGTGACCCCACAGTCCAGCGGATAACTGCTTGAGACTGGTGACACGGCGTGTATGAACTAGCTCTTTAGTTTGGTTCTGTATTAGTAAGTTACTGCCGCCTACGGATCGGAACACCGTAGGGTAAGTCGGGATGTACAATTTCTGAGGTTGACCTTTACTAACCCTCTCTCTCGAGGGTGGAGAGACAACATAGCTGGCTGGCATGCTGGTTATCCGAGGGAGACACCTTACTGCCGTTACATCGTTGTTTCCCATCAGTGCGACTTTGCTTACAGACCCCCAGGATAGTGTAAAGTAAAAATTCTTACACTATGCGGGTAACTGGTGGCATGGTAGGACCTGGAGGAAGCATAATTCCAGCCAGTGTAGCTTGTTGGGTCATTGGGATATGCGAGCCCAACCACCACGTCAAGGTATCAGCCATCAGTCAGGATTGTTTTGAACAAAAGCGCAAGTAAAATATTGAAGGCAGACGATACGATACAGTAGCGTCAATTATATTATATTTTGATACTATTATGTCAGTTCGATAACATATCAATTTAATTTTCAGGTATTGCTTTGCAAGGATTTGATTGGTTCCAAGTTACAGATCATGAAATGACATCAGTCAGGGAACTGTCGGAAACTAGGGAGTACTAGTAAGGTGTTTTGGTCCTAATTTGGGACTCTTCATCAGTATGCACCCAAAACCCCACCAGACTGATGAAGAGTCCCAAAGTAGGGAGAAACAATTCTCTGTTACGATATGGCTTTTCAGTGTTTCTCTAGTTGGTGTCAGTTCGTGGCTTTCCCTGAAACTTTAGTTAACGTTTATTTTAAAATGCAGCGATAAATACTAAGGGTATGATAAGTAGTAATTTGAGAACTATTTTCATGCTGATTGGTAGCTCTCGTTTTAGTCCTGTATGTAGTAAATGCTCATAGACAGCTGAGAGACTGCGAAGTTATTTAAGATAGCTGAGTTTTTGTCAGTACGTGCTTGATCACGAGTCGTATTTATCACTTTGACTATCTGATGTGCCGTCATGAACTACAGTTGACCTCGGGACCAGTTTTCCGGAGGGCTGGTCACACGAGTTAGTCTAAAGGTGGAAATTTATTGGCAGAACACATGAATATATAGAATTATTATTGTTTCCTTCAGTTCTTAGAGGAACATAGGGCTTCAGCAGCGCGTCTCCATTGAGTTCGGTTCTCCGCCAACCTTTTCACCTGGCTCCATGTCTGCCAACATGCTTTCATCTCTTCGCATGACCTCCTCCATGTCACCTTCGCACTGACGTCCAACTCGCCGCTTCCCATTCACGTCCCACTCGAGCGATGGCCTGTGATGTCACTTGGTGGTTTTCTCAGATTATGGCTAATCCACTTCCGTTTCTTCCTGCATATCTGTTGTACAGTTGGTCACTAGTTGGTTCTCATCGCTTTACTTATTATTTCCCCGATTCTAAAGGGAGCAACCCAAAAAGCCGCTCTTCTGAAACTTACATCTCTATATAACAACTTTTCGAACGTGAGGCTATCAACCCCACCCTATAAAGAACACTGCTACAGAAACTTCAGTACGATGAGTCTCCAATATAAAGCAATGGAATTATTAATTGGCGAATCGATGTACAGAAATAGGCAAAACACGTCAACCCTATATTAGAATCACAATTTGCTTATATCTTCGGTATTGCGCTATTTTTCTCTTCCCTTATTGTAATTCCTTGTCTTCGTTTCACTCTTTCCGTATTGTTTGACAAGCATCGTACATTTCTTCTCTTCGCCATTAAATCCATCTCTGCGCTGTTCGATATTCCTGCAGACGATACACATATTTATATCTGTATATATATACTACTTATAAACCGTGTCAGTAGCACACCACAGCAGTACTATCTAAAATGTAGCCAGTTAATGTAAGTGGCTTTCTCTATTCAAAGTTAATAAACTGCTATAGTATTTCTAGGACTTAAAATCTTGATCAAGAAAGCGAAGTTTGACATAGTGAAACTGGTTAACAGTTTGGTTACTATGCCGACGAAGTATTAATAATTAGGCAATATACAAGCGAATTTAAAAGAGAGTATGGGATACATGTTAAAAACATATAAACCTTACTACTGAAATTAACCGTCATGTTACTAGGCTATTAAAATATATTACAACAGTTGTGTCCAAATTCTAGTTCATTCATAATCTTGACTCTGGAATAACTTGGCAACATTTTGGCTACTTTCAGTTCTGATTTGTAAATGTGACTCACTAATAAAATGACATGTAGCTGAGTCACTCAAACAGTATAGGATTATGAGCAAAATACAATTTGGGCATATTTTTATTATAATGTATTTGGTAAGCCTAGTAAGGTGTCACTCAATTAATTTCAGTTGTAAATGTTGATACACACACACACACACACACATTTAATTCATTTATTTATCAATGAGTCATACCTAGGTTGTCCATTCATTTTTGTAATTTTGTATACAGTTATATGTAATGAACTAATATTCAGTATTCTAACTCTATTGGTTATTCCCGTATGTATGATAATAACTAATTGTGCGTCTATTCATGTGTGTAGGTGTATGTCCCAGTTCGTTTGAGGATGATAAAATTATGTACAGTGTGCTTGTTATCTACATACACACAAATACTTGCTGTCTAAATTTCAGTTATCATCTTGATAATACAAGATTAAATCTACACGACCCCGTGTGGTAAGTAAGTAAGTTCTAATGCTTTTAATTGTATTACCAAGTGAAAATGGCAAGTGGTCTGGAGGAGTCCACCAAGTTGTGTATAAGGACAGGAATTTACCAAGGACATTGGCTATATATCGCTCTAACTGACAGAGATTAGAATTCACGAGCTATTAGATTCCCTCCCAGTCGCTGAATAGACAGCGAACTCGTCTCATATCCCGAAGGTCCAAGGTACGATCCCCCTTAGTGTCTGTCATAGGTGCGCACTTCTGAGGAGCCCCGGACGAGGACGAAACAGGTGCCCAGTTCTCCCTGGTTTTCTGACTGATATTAATGAGTGTTCAGACCTGAAAATTTAACGGTACTCGTCAAATCACCTTCAAATGCGTACACCTTGAAAAACGCCACACTAAACATATTATGATGGCAGATTTTGTTACCACTTGACCCGTCCAAACCACTGTATTCAGAGCTAGTTTCAAAATTGTAACCGCACAACCGTGGCTGTTGTTAACTCTGCGTTAGGCCGATAGATTTCATCGTAGATCTCAATTTTGACACGCATTAAGTATATACCTTTAGTAGGTTAAATAATGTATATATATTTTGAGTGTAACATAGGGCTTCAAAAGCGTATCTTCATTTCATTCTGTTTTTTGAAGTAATCTTCAGCTGGCTGTGCGATTGCCCATATTCTCCCATCTTCACACACAATCTCCTTTATGTCACCCTCAGACTCATGCCAAACTCGTTGTTTTCCATTTGGGTTCCACTCGAGGGTTTTGGTGCTCGGTCTCCTCAGCGCGTGCCCGGTCCATCCCCGTTTTCCTTGACATATTTGTCGGTTGACGATTTGTTCATTTCCAGAGTTCCGTGTGGTTCTGTGTGGAGCGAAGGCAGTCATTTTCCGGAAGAAGTCATGAGTTGGCCAATGCACTCATTTCAGTTCGTGTGTTCATCCTGCATACGAATGAAATCTCATCAGTATTCTAATATTTCATGCTAGAAAAGTCTGTACAACAGACACTCTGGAAAATGGAAATGTAAGCGCAATATCGCTTGAAATTAAGTCACGCGTAGGTATAGGCTATCCCGGTCCAGAACAAACAAGAAGCCGGTCACTGTTTCTACGGTACTATTAATAAACTAATCAGTTAATATATATACAACAAACCTTAACGGTTTCAAGAGTACAAAACACAATGCTTAACAGAAAGCAAGGAACCGCTATCAGAGCGTAATAACGTTAAAGCCAAAATTACGAACTAGCCGGATCAGACACGACCGTTCAGGTAAGCAGTCAGTAGAAGAATGAACCCAAGTAAGAGATAGACAAAGCATAGGCACAAAGATAGAATTTAATTGGCTACTTAACCAATCAATCAATAAGATAAACTCAACAGAATAATACAAAGTAAGACATGGGGCAGCAAAATAACAGTTCACAAAAATACTCTGATTGGGTCATGAGTTCAACTGTCTGACTAAAAGGATCGAAGTAAAAACACACATACACAGTTAATTAAACAAGGTGGGATAGACACGTTGGGCATGGATAATTGTGTTGCAACAATGCTAGGCTGATCCGGGACAGGTTGACTTGATTTAAGGATGGGCATGGAATTCATCTTACAGGAAAACTTACTAATATGAGAACGAATATCTAGAAAAATTTGTTAGTGTCTATGATGAGAACAGACAGAGAGAAATGCATGCAAACAAACGGTGCAGAAGAAAAATATCTATATGATTTTGTCATTCAAAGGAGATGCAACTACTGAATTACTGGCATTGAAACTCTTTAAAGTGCGACAGTGCCACAGCGGTAGGATACTCGCCGATCACACATGTGATCCATGATTCGGTTGTCGGCCGACGCACTCCTTTACCTCTTTGAGCCCGTACTAAGACTAGTAAAGAGGGAAGGTTGGGCCTGAGGCTAGCAACCCCATCCCGTAAAAATAAACACCACTGATACCGAAACTTCAAGCCTCTATCTTGAAGCCGCCCTATGTTCCACCGGGAACGTGAAGGAATTAAAAAAAAACCGTGTGGTTCTTGTTTTTGATTCTGAACACAAGTTCAAGTTAGTACTGGGATTTGGGAAAATTACTTTTTTAATTCAATTGAGTGAGAAAGAAAAAAATAGCACAATTTCCGACTAACCAATGCTCAAAAATACAATTTGCTTGATGAGCAACACTTTACTTATTGTGAATGAGCACATATATATTTTGTTCGAAAGCTTGAAATGTAATTTATGTTGCATGTGAAAATAACTGGAGGATGCACATTTCGCGGCTGGACTCGAATAATAAACTGCCATTCTGAGCAATAACCACACTTCATAGTTCACTTAATAAATGCTGATTATCCTGTAAAGTGTCTCTAGTTCAGGTTACACTGTTTCAATTCCATTTATTAACCCATAACATCAAATATCAGTTTATACTAAGTATTTCTCTTATAGTGTGGTAATTACTTTTAGCTTATGCACAGCTTACTCACAAAAAGTAATCTCCAGGTGAATTTTGGTAGAGTATATATACAACAATTATGGTAGGTTTTTCAATTATTGGTTCTGTAGGGATTTTTTTGTTTGATTGGTTGGAGGATTTCATCGCGAGCTGAAATCAGTCAGAGAACCATTGGAAAACCTGCAGGGAGTAATGGAAAGTTGTTTCGTCCTAGCTCTTTCGGACTCTTCAGAAGTATGCATCCACTGGGGTTCGAACCCAGGACTTTCTGGTTACAAGGCGAGCTAGTTAACTCGTAGACCATTAAGCCACTGGGACCCAATCCAATGGCCAGCCCATAAATTCCAACTTCTGACAATGCATGACAAAGTGCGACCACTAGCCATTGTCTTTTTCGATGAGTTACTGCCTTGCCTTCAACCTGCTGTACCCTACTGGTCACGGCTTCTCACTAAAACCCCAGGTAACTGCCTAAATAGGGCCAGTAGCTAGTGAGCATCAGATCAATTTTCAAGTATTGGTTTTGTAGGGATTTTTTTGTTTGATTGGTTGGAGGATTTCATCATGAGTTGACATCAGTTAGAGAACCACTGGAAAACCTGAGAGTACTGGATAGCTGATTCGCCTAAGAGTTTGTGACTCTTCATCAGTACGCACCCACCGCTCATGATGAAATCCTCGAACCAATTATAGTAAGTGTTGTATCAGTGGTTCAATAGTAGAACACTTGCCAACCAAACAGAAGGTACAGGTTGGATTCCCAGCTGACAAACTCCTCAACCTCGCCTAGTGTTTACTAGTCGGTAATAAATCCAGAAAAGAGTGAAGGGCTGAGAGCATGAGACTAGCCATCCGAACCTCATTAAAACAACATCAAGAAATGAGAAAAAAGTAAATTGAGATTTTAAAAAGAGGATATATATATATTTCATATGATAATGCGAAATGAAGGCAGTAACTCCCAAATGCGTGTAGGTGCGTGATAGGGTTCATGATTCTAAGATGACTTAACGATAATGAACAGAATTCGGATGAAAATAACATTTGAAACAAATGTAAATTAATGTTTTAACATGATGGCGCGGGGGGCGGCGCGGAATAACAACTTTATAACAAAACCAAAAAATGCTTCTAAATATACACAAAGAACAAACAAGAGAAAATAGTATTTTATATCAAAGAAAATGATGGCAATGCCATTTCATCTGTTAGCATAGCTGTATTGCACTCATAATGTAATAATTCTGTAAGCTGTCCAATTGTCATACTCATTAATTGTTCTCTATCTTCACTAGGGCCAGCAACACCCAAGGCAGTAGAAGAGGTTCGTTTTGTACCAGCACCAATCATACACTCTGTGTCTAAATTATACGGACCAACTTTTGTATTACGACAATGTGATGCATGCAGGGTGGCTTCAATGCTATCTTTAACCAAGAAACGATGAACAATTCCAGGTCTAAATAATAATTGAGTAAAATTCATAAACCAAAAGGATTATTATTATCATTAATACTATATATTATATAGATCTGTGTTAATTGTTTTTTATGACAATATTAAATTAAGCATCGTTATAATATGAAATAATATGAAACTACTCGTATACTACGGCGTAACCCAAATATTCATCAACCTTATTCAACAACTCTGTACGACAACGGCACATGTCAAGTGATCCACAATGTAAAACTCAGCGAGGCGTTTGGAGTAAACACAGGAGTCAGAAAAGGGTGCTTATTATCACCAATGATATTCCTAATTGTAGTGGACTGGATTATGCGTCAGACAGTGGGAAACGAGAAGACAGGGATATCCTGGACCGACGTGAAGAACCTAGAAGACCTGGATTTTGCGGATGATTTATGTTTGATGTCACACAAAATCGAGGACTTACAAGCGAAAACCGACAAACTGGTCGAAGAAGCAGCAAAGACAGGACTCCAGGTGAACATAGACAAGACGGAGGTTATGAAAATAATCAACCAACAAACAACAACAACAACAGCAGCAACATCCAGCGCCAATCACCATCAATGGGAGGGATTTGAAAGAGGTTACTTCATTCACTTATCTAGGGAGCATTGTCTCAACTACAGGAGGAACGGACGAGGATGTCAAATCGAGAATTGGGAAGGCGAGAAACACATTCGTCAACCTGAAACCAATCTGGAAATCTTCGTCACTCAGCATCAACAACAAAATTCGGATTTCAATACAAACGTCAAGTCAGTTCTTCTATACGGATCAGAAACTTGGCGGGTCAAAAAGAATATTTCCAACAGGTTGCAAACCTTTACCAACAACTGTCTCCGCTCTATACTCAAGATCAGATGGCCGGAAAGAATCACCAACAAGAAACTATGGGAACAAACAAAGCAAGAACCAATGGCTCAACAAATATGCAGGAGAAAGTGGAGATGGATTGGACACTCGCTGATGAGGCCGCTTGGTGACATCGCGCGTCAGGCCCTCGAGTGGAATCCGAAAGGAAAGCGGCGAGTGGGACGTCCAAGAGTGACATGGAGGAGATCGTGTGAAGAAGAGTTGAAACAGTATGGACTAACATGGATGGAGGTGAAAAGTACAGCAGAAGACGGAAACAAGTGGAGACGTGCAGTTGAAGCCCTATGTTCCACTAGGAACCCAAGGGAACAATAATAATAATAATAAGTGATGATGACGATTAGGCATTGACTTCTGTCTAGCTTGACTTTCTTTATGTCAGTCAGTCAGTCTTAAAATCATTCTTAGTGAAACACTCGGGTTATTTTAGATTATAATAATTTTATACATGTATCCTACGATTTCTCGATATACAAACACACACACACTAGTGACAAATATTGAACGAAAACACTCACTACTGGAACTCTAGCAGTCAGTTTAGCTAAACTGCCCTAGTTACAACTTACTATACTCCCAACCATTGAGTTGGGAGTTATTATTATTATTCTTTATTCTTTCACGTTCCCAGTGGAACATAGGGCGGCTTCAAGATAGAGGCTTGAAGTTTCTATAGCAGTGGTGTTTATTTTTTACGAGATGGGGTTGCTAGCCTCATGCCCAACCCTCCCTCTTTACCAGTTCTATTGTTGGCTTAGCGAGGTAAAGGAGTGCGTCGGCGGCCGGGGATTGAACCCCGGACCATGTGCATGGTCGGCGAGCGTCTTAACTGCTGTGCCACCGACGCACCTTGGGAGCTTACCCAATTTCACACAGACAACACTCGAGAAATATGACTTACAAATATACAAATACATGTAGAAGACTAATGTAAAAATATCAAAATTAATCAATTTTTTCTGTCTCCAGATTTTCTGAAATGTATTCTCAATTCCTCTAAACTAAAATAGCATTATTAATAGGATGTCGAGGGTTTCAATTATTATTAAAATACAAACATGAAACACTATGGGCATCAACAGATGAGCCACACAAAATCTCATAGTTTATGCGAGGGCCAGGATACTACTCGGACGCCCAGACTGAAGTACGCGGTTGTATTATTGACCACATCCCTCCTCCTCCTCCTCAAGCCTTTGACTTGAAATCTGATCCACAAGGCAATGAAGCGTCATCAGCAGCTGAGTCCCCTTGGTTTCCGGTGACTAAAACGGGTTTCATACACCGCTCAATCTTTTCAGATTATGGAGCCTTTGTACATCATAGATTTGGAATCAGGGTTTCCCAGGTATTCTGAGGAGAGACCAGCATGTCCACCAGCCTGGTTGTAAAAACACTAGACTTTCGCACTTGTCCTTTCACTTTTGTGAGGAACACCCTCGCCGCATGAAGGCGGTGAATGGGACTTACATGACAGAGGCTTTGAACTTGTGGCCACAGGAGAGCATTGTGAGGGGAGTACCAAAAGATACCAACCCGCTCCCACCTCCCTAAGCGGCACAAGGTAGTTAATAGGGACAATATATATCTTGCTATAACTGATGAACACGCTGACCATAGAGCATAAATTCATTGAAAAATTAGTAGAATACAACTGATTTTTGTTATTATTCTGCAATATATTTATTCATGTTTTTTTCTAATACTACTTGGGCCACTTTAGTTAGATGCTTCTTTTCAGTTAAAGAAGAAGACGATAAGAAAAACATCAAAATACTAACTACTCAAGAAATCCAACATACCGGAAATCCTCTTTTACATTATACCCTAAATTTACTACACTTTCAATAGGAGATTAAACGAAACCCATGTAAAGAGAAGTATTAAGCAACTCAATATCAATGAATGAATACCTTGTTTGTCCAATTCTGTGTATTCGAGCAATTGCTTGCGCTTCTCTTGCATGTGATAACACTGGATCAATAAAAAGTACATGATTTGCTGAAGTTAAATTTAAACCATTTGCACCGAGTTGAACAGGCATTAAAAGTATCCATGTTGTTGAACCAAAACATTGAAAACCAGCTAATCTTCCAGGGCAACATGCATCACGTGCATGAAATAAAGTTGTATAAGATAGACCATTTTGATCTAATGCTCCAGCTAGTGTTACTAGGACTGATAACCACTAAAAAAAATTATAAATAATATTAGTAAATTAAGAGGGAACAAGATGAACTAAATGAATATTCGAAAATCGCATAATAGAGAAGAAGCGTTAACAGGTTAGAATTGTGAAGGGTTGTTTCCGTAATAAATTCTTCCTTCACACTAATGTTTAATTTTATTATCAGTTTAACTGCTGATATATGACAATGGAACTAGGCGTTAAATTGAAAAATTACAAAAATCTTCGGTAAAGTTAAACTTTAAGCACAACTAACCGCCAATCAGCGACTTGCCTTGAACGCACCAATCACAAGAAAGAGGCATTTTTGGGTATGGAATACATATATTTATTGAAAAAATGCATAAACACTGTATAAAAGTGTTACATAGGATGCCTTTCTCTCAAATGTGACAAAAACATCTCACAGTTTAGCATAGGAGCATTAGTGGAAAAGTTACACCGCATCCTATACATATATTCATCTAAATGACTATAAATAACATCCTTTTGAGATCCATTAATGGCTCTAATCCGGCTTTTTAACATTTCCCTTCGATAGAATTGGTGTGGGTGCCTGTAATGAGATCCACAAAATCATTAGAATGGTTGAATCTGTAGTGAATATATACAAGGGATGACAACGGGTTATAACCTTTCCAATCTTCTGTGTGTATTATAGATCCTTATTTCACCAGTTGAGTAATAATAGGTATTAAAGTACTTGACTTTCTATCTGCTATTCTCTCGACGAATCCTTTTTGTAGAGACGTATCATATAAACCAATCACTCAAACATTATTCGCTCGTTCTTGACAACGGTTGTATTCTTTCTTTAATAAGACAGTTTCTCATACATGTATGACGACACCTCCCAATAAGGGAATAAGCCTCTCCACTTTCCAGGATGCGATATCCCTGTAGTGCTGGTACCACTGAACTGTTGATACGAAACTATTTTCAGTTTCAGCAGCTGCACCTCTCACAGACTGTTTTAAAACTCAGTTATCACAAATATACAAAATCTGTCTTAAGGATAGATGGGACCTGGCAAAAAATGTTCCTACGAAATATGAGAATCATCAGCTCACCTTCCCTGACACTAACTCGTCTCAAACAGATTGCACAACGATGCACACGTCCATCAAAAGATCTGCTGAAGCTTTTTATGGTCATTACACCTCCATATGAACAAATCCTTTCTTTCCTAATCAACCCCATATTTAAGCAATACTGGAAGACCTGATATGCTCAACAAATTGCAAACACGACTGAGGCAGGGTAGGCGTTTGACTCGAATCAAGTGGAACAGAGGCTTCAACTCACGTGAATAAAATTCACTGGACCATTCAAGGGTCAATGGTGTGGTTGCACTCCATTGGCAGTCAGTGGTGCTTAAAGTTTAACTTCGTCAAAATCTTCCATTCAAGAGTTAGTTCACAAACCCACTGATCGACAATCCTTAGATTCTGTTTCAGTCTACTTGGTGACAAAATCAAGCATGTTGGCGACATAGTTTATTCAATTATTACAAATTTTTAAGACCAAATTACAGATACATTTTAATCTTCAGATGCTAATGAATGTAACACGTTAGTTACTCGGAACTCAGTTATCCGCGACAGATATTCCAGGCTGGGAGCCACGTATATTGTGTGAGGGATGCTGATGCTACCCATGTTATAGTGTTTGCAGTAGGGCAGAGCAGGGCGGGAACTCAAAATACACAGCTTTTATTGACTAACAATACGATTTGAAGCCTATTTATCAATCGCAATATGACGAGATAAGTACTGTGAGCAATGCTGAGCTGAAAATTGAGAAATGAAATATTGAAGGAAGCAATTTGTACGCACGCAAGTTGTCAGATGAACAGAAATCCAGCGGTTCAAGTTGTCACACACTTCATGTAGTACACACAAAAACAGAGAAAAGAAAACAAGGAATTCAAAACACACACACACACAACTACGATGACCGGAAATGTATGGGGTGAAGAATAGTTAATATGGAAAAACATAACGATTTAATAGGGCTAGAAGATTTTAAACAGGCCATGCATCTGCGCCATTGAGAACGGTTATCCGCCATTGGTTTTTGGTGCCGCAATGGAACCAGCCAGACAGTTTATACCTCCCCCTAGATGAGTCAAATCATCAGCCAAAGACTTCATGAATTGATGACATGTTTTAATTTGACCGTTCCTAACTCTTTCACAACTTAACCTTATATCAACCAACATTACTTATCAAGGAAAGAGTGTGGTGGTGTGATACAGACAATGTGTTCCAACGGAATATGATTCACACATATTCTCACAGTTCAATACTGCGTTAACAACAGAATACTATGCATATTTGAACATTCTATTTCACGTCGTTTAATGTAAACCAAAATCATACGCTTCCGTGTATCTTGCCTTCTGTTGTTACAAGAAGAGACTTGGCATGCGTATCATGTATCCCAGCTGTCTCAACCAATGTAGCCTCGAAACCATTCTATATGCCTAGCCTAAATTACTCACTATATTGTACCACTTAACATGGGGAATAGAACGTAAACATCCGTGGGCGAAGATGGCTAGTCTCTTCAGATCTTCCACTTTCAATGGTCATGCCTCGTAGCCATAAAGAAGAATAGAACAAATCGCTGTACAGTACACATCTCCTTTGATCCATAGCCGGATATCACGTCTATATCAGAGATTATGTAAGTTGTCAAATGTCACAGAAGCCTTATCGAGATTTCATCCCTAATCAGTTGATCGGAGTTGATGCAACTTCTCAAATAAGCAAAGTAGTCAACACGCTCAGCCACTTGAATTCATATCCTTTAACCGGAAGCCAGTTCGGACTAGTCCTACAGCATCATCTTAAATTTGACAAGGGTGAATCAATTGCATATCATGGTGTTCAGAAGATTCTGCATCTTGTCAGCGTTTTTACCAAGGATAACAATATCATCCGAGAATTAAACTACTTTAACCATCAATAAAAGCACTACAGAAGTACGTAGGGACCCTAGTAGACATAATGACTAAAAAAATGACTTTTTTGAAAAAAAAAACTAACAAATAAACAAACTTGACTTACAGAACTGAAAACAATAGCTTTAGCATCTGGATCATCACGTTTAATCACTTTTAAACATCGTATAACAGCTCTCACTTTTGTGCTATGATCACCCTGATGATAAATTAAAGAAGGTATTTTGCACAGTTTTACAAACAAGTAACATTTAAACACACTCTGAGAGAGGGAAGAAGTAAAACAAATGATCTAACCAAAACAAAGCAAAAGTGAATGCCATTATTGGTTTATGAGTATTCATGTTATATAATATTACCATAATTATCATTCCCCCTCGATTCCTAGTGGAACATAAGGTTTCACCAGCAAGCCACCTCGCTATTTCACTCTGTTCTGTGCCGTTTTTTCTTTTTGTAACTTACCCCACAATTGTCCATAGGCTTTCACTTCTTTCAACTGATAGTGATCTCCTCCATGTCACTCTTGTATGTCTTTATTTATCGTTTCGCATTTGGTTTCCACCATCACCTTCAGTTCTTGGGACTAGACAGTTTAGTGATAAAGTTTTCATTGTCATGCTAAAACAAAGCACTCACGTCAAACTTAAAGAAAAATAAAATATGAGAAGCTGTCTATGAATAGCTTGAGATATCAGAGTAGCAGACTTTATAATAGTTACTTAGTCACATATCGCCTTCTTCGACGGGTAATGTTAGCTGACATAGGGTCAGGCTGGAAAAGAGCTAGCGGCGGTCAAACCAAAACATGGCACCAGTCAATGTAATCCACAACAGTTAGTTTAAGCCAGCCATGTATGAAGGTGTAGACCTCCTGGTTGGGGTCCTCGGGACGGTAAAAACCAGTGACTGGAGACAATCGGTGATATGGCTCAAAATTGTTCTGAATGGTCGGTGCAAGTGCATCCACTCCTTGTGACTTATAATTTCCAATTAAACTATATTGTTCTTCATTATAACTATTCCTTTATCTCATAACCATGTCTACTGTCTCTATTTTGTATTCCCTTTTACTTTCTTCTCTTGCTTTGTGTGCTACAAGGAGGGAGTGTGGCGACTTGAAGTGCTGCACATCGGTGCAAAGTTCTATGTCGAAAACAGACAGACTTAGTCACATTAATAATGACCACTGAGTGACTGCATACAGGAAGAAGTTTCCTGGAGTTCTAGTGGGCAGTTGTGAACAGTGGAGTGCATCATATTTGGAAAGTACTCGTCGATAACATCGGCTGGTGGTCTCACTAAAATGATGAATTGACAGAAGTTGGAATTCGAAGGCCATTCGAAAAGGTACCCAGTTGCTGAACTTGTAACTGCAACGTTCTGGGTTTGAACCCCAGCAGGTGTGTACTTCTGAAGAGTCTAAAACTAGGGCGAAACACACCTGACTAGTACTATCTGGTTTTCAACAGCTCGCTAGTTGACATCAAATCTTGATCAAACTTCAAGCAATTCAATTTCCAACTTCAACATCCAGTTTCAAGAGGCTTAATTGAACAGGTGTTCAGCTTCTTCAATTAAAGGACACTAGAATCTGTCGTAAATGTGAATTCTTATTTGCAGTCCAAAATACCCACTGATATCAGAAGAAATGATGCTTTGAATTATAATCGCAAATCTAAGGTTCGCTTAAGAGAATATAAAACCACAGATAGATAAGTCTTAAATAATACTTGTTCTCAGCTTATTCCCAGAAGATTATGTTTAGTCTTTCAAATTAAATAACACAGGACATGAGAAGCCTATCAGTTACACATTTGATCATAAGCTGACAGCTGTTAGAGAAACATTGGAAACTCGGGAAGTACTCAACGTCAGCTTCATCCTAGCCTGAGACTCTTCAGTAGTACACAACCACCAAGATTTACACCCAGGATCCTCCAGTTAAAGGGCAAACTCTCTTATACCTTTTAGTCACTGGAACTCGATCCAATGGTACGTTAATCTCAATGTTATAGGCCAGTGACTGTTCTGTAACCTTACTTGGTGAATCTCGCTGGTTACAACTTCCCACTAGAACTCCAGGTAAATTCCCGTATAGAGCCAGTTACCAGTGTGGATCAGCATAATTATCAAGAGTACTGGACAGTTGTTTTGTCCTAGTTTGTTGCTCGTTGTCAGTAACGCACACTCACCCGTAACCCCAGTAGTTCCTTGTTTTTCAATGGTTCTCTAACTGACGTCAACTCATGATCGAATCTGTAACCAGTCAAATCCCTGCAAGACAACATTTGATAATAAACTTATTATTTTATGGGTTTTGTAGGAATATAGATTAATTCAAATGACACTGGTTGTTGGTAGCGTTATATCACGAATTGACAAAGTTAGGATTCACTGATCACTTAAATCCAACCAAAGTTACAGGATTTCATCATGAGCTGACATTAGTTAGAGAGCCATTGGAAAACCTGGGAGTACTGAACAGCTGTTTCGTCCTAGTTTGAGACTCTTCAGCAGTACGCTGAATTCCAACCAAAGTGTTCGAGTGGTCAACGAGCTCGAGCTCGTCATCTGATGGTCTTAGGTTAGATCCCTGGTGGGATCGCGGTCGCGAGCTGATGAAGAATCCACAAATAAGACGAAACAGCTGCTTAATGTTCTTTGAATTTCAATGATTTTCAAACTGATGTTGATTCGTGAAGAAATCTGGATTAGAACTCTTCAAAATGATGGGAAGTAGCAAAACAGAGAAATATAAACGGTTTCAAGATATCGTTCGCATTAAAATACATCAACCTGTTCACCTGTTTTCAGAGATTCTTTATGATCAGTGTGCTGACGACTAATCAATAAAGTTGTTAAACCTAGGCAGATTTTTGGATATATAATCGTTTATTCACCATGTGTGGATGTAAAAATCGACTTACGCTTTTCTAACGTTAATTAAGCATTAAACATTAAATCACAGTTGCACACTTTAACGCTAATCCTAATGATAACTTGATGTTATTTCGAGGATGGTGGCTAGCACAGTGTAATCCAGCGTGCGCATTTCGTCTAACTTGGAACTCTTCAACTGGGTTAGGGTACCTGAAATCCTCAGTGAGTGATGGTTAATCTTTAGACACAGTCGAAGTCTCCATACTAGGAACTGACATGTCAACAGACACCGAACGTTTTGGTTCAATATAATCAATCAAGAGGAGGTGTGAAATTAGCTTAAACAAATGGTGATAACTGTTATAGCGTGTAAGAATAATAAGATTTAAATTGCTCAAGAAGCTTGAGGACCAATCAAGTCAATCAGCGTGCACGAAATTTTGCAGAAGAGTCACATGATTATGTGTGTGTAAGCTACAGACTACCTAGCAGTTAGCTGGAAATATCTGATACTATCATGAATAAGACAGAATACATCTTTTCCCCCAGGCATACCACTTCTTCTAATTTCATGAGGGTTAGGAAGATTAATGATGTAGCGTTTATAAACTTACCACACTCACCAACAACATGAGATACACATAATAACTCTCCACAACAAGCATAAAACCTGAGCTGATAGTTCGCTAACGACCGTTCTTTGTTCTTTATTAGCCAATATCAAAATTTCAGGGCACCACAGTGGTATATTAGTCAACTTACTGGCTAGCTAGACTGTCAGCTCACAACAAATAGAGAACCATTAAGCATACATTCATCAGTCACTAGAATGAGTAACCGAAGTCAAATGTTTACGTCTTAGTATTGATGCTGTGACTGGATTTCATCAGTGGTTATGAATCATCAATCGCGGTGACCAATAACTGTAAAGACATGGAAACTTGTGGATTGAAGCCTTCTGACTTACAGAAGATGAAATTACCTCTAACTTACCACTATATTCAAGTCTTCTTCGTTATCTTCAGATTTCATTTGATTTTCTTGCTTTGTTTCATTACCAGCATAGTGAATAAGTGTTAAAGGTTGTCGACGTCGAGCATTCATACCTGTGATCTCTCTTGATTCAAATGGTGTCCGACAGATAGGACAACGTCGTTGAGTGGTTTCTGGCATTGTAGCTATACGCTGATGACAATTAAAGCATAAACTATGCCAACAACCAGGTAGTAAAACAAACGTTGGTGTTGATGGTGAATGTGATTGAAAACAGGTAGGACATTCAATTGGATGAGTTCTTGGCCGTTCACTATTATTTGGATTATTTTCATCTGTCGGCAAACCAGTCACTGCTGACAAATAAGCGTTGCGCAGAAAATTATAACGGCCAAGACGAGACTGTAGTCGGGGCCATATCATATCAGCTTCAACTAATGAACGATATAGTTGATGATCAACCTGTAAGAAGAAGAAGAAGACAGACAGACAGACAGACAATAGGATGGATTCAGCGCATTACAGCCGATATATTCGTTAACTATCTAGTATTTTTTTAAAAAGAAAAGAAAAAGACAAAACAGAAAGTAAATTACCTCATCTTGATGAATAAATGCTAAGCCTGTTGGACATGTGGCTTGCAGGCGAACAACAAACTGTTCAGTATCATCGTGTATATTCCACCATTCTTTGGTCAAAGATTGTGTACGACTTGTTAACTAAAAGGAATCACAACAAAGGATATATATATATATATCATATATATAAAATAAAGTAAGCATATAAAATAAGCATAAACAAATCATTCCTAGGACTTCAATTATTTCCTTTTGACATTTGGATAGAATAAAATAAATGGCAGTACGAAACACTCATATTTTGACATACGACCACCTAGCATACACATTAACCTTCCAACCTCATAAGTTGTCTGGAGGTTACAACTGAACGGGTGGATAATCGGCTAGTCTACCCAAGGGGCACTTAAAAAACTTCATTCTACACCCGAGATGATAGATGGCATCCAAAATCCGAAGGAATCAAATGGTGTATGAACTTGTTTTGGTTACCGTCAATCATTGGAATGTAGGTACTGACGCTGCTCCACTGCTTTGTGGAACAGAATTCAAGTCAAAGGCTAGGCTAGAGAGGAGTGAGGTTGTCCTCTAGAGGACAGCTATTTGCTTCGGTCTGAGAGTTCGAGGAGTATCCTAGCGCTTGTACAAACTATGAGATTTCGTTCCCATGATCTACCAAGATATGAAGTAAATTCTCTTCTTCAGGTTATTGTAGTTGCCATAAAATATATTGACTATCTCTTGAGCGAATGGGTTTTTGTAAGAATTTTATTTAATTTCTATGCAGATTTCGTTATAAACTCAAAATCAGTTGAAGATCATTGAAAACCAGCATGGAGCACTGGACAGTTGTTACGGCCTAGATTGGGACTCCATTCCAGCAGTGTACTCCCACGACTCTACTAGGGATCGAAACTAAGACCTTCACATCCATCTTCAGCTCATTGATGGCTACTGGATGCAGGTGTTCACAGGAAACAGTATACCAAAGGACGACTATCATATGTATGTATTCTATACATGGACTAGCAAAACATTTCATCATGACAGACTGATTTTTAAGCTGTCAGAAAGAAAAATGCTTTCTTCCATAAAAGCATTTTGAGGGAAACCTAAGATGATCATAAATGTTCAGTATTATATAAGATTCTATCTTGAAGTTAAATAGTTTGGGAACCGTTTTTCCTAAATGGAATACACTGAAGCGACAATTGATGCCCTTACCAATCGTAAAACCTTCATTGATTTCCCAATTTTACGGTTCTTATTCCTTCAACGAATGTAACAGAAATATAGATGCAAGAATGATGAATAACTGAGTTATTGGAACTAATTTAGCTTTAAGGGAATTATTACATCTTTTGAGAGGATTAGAACAATAAAACACCTGATGTAGTTTGAGATGACTGAATATTCGTCACCTATTGCTGACAACTCACCCTACTCCAAACATCTTTCCTTCATTTTTATGAATTGGTATGTTGATAAGGGTTAAGACGAGATCTAATGACTTTATAGATGACCACACAACCCCCATCCCTCTTACAAAAAGCCAAACAATACCTACAATTAATACTATGAAAGTATATACCCTATAGTTTCAAAGATAGAGGTGTTCATAGAGCAGACTGACAACTTACTAATATCTCTTTTCCCATTAAACGTATTAATTGTTCTAAACGTTTAGCTTTTGCTTGATAATAAATTTTTGAAAATGGTAATTCACTTTGCGGAGTATTCGATAAAAGTTTGGAGGTTTGTTGACAGACAATAGACAATGACATAACTAATGGATTATTTAAAATAAGACCAGTTCCTGCTGCTTCTATAGCCGCCATAGCAGTAGATGATTTTTTCAATGCCTCTGAATTATCATCAACATCAAATTCATAGATATATGGACGACTTGAAGTAGGTTTTGCACGTTCATGGTTTAGTGCACGTTGATAATCCCGTAGTGCTCTTAAAGCAATACAATAAGCACAATGTGTTTTCTTTGGTGAACGACGACTACTACCAGTAGCAGTAGGAGTACTAGTAGTAGTAGTAGTAGTACCATTTGGCTGAGATTTTTTTGTTTTCTCCTCTGATTTAACCTTAGTCTTCTTTTTCTCTTCTTTGCGTTTGTTTTCATCATCTGTATCGAAAATTCTAGCACAACATTGATAAAATGGTTGGAGAATACTTTGATCAACTTCTTGACCATTCTGAAAAGATGATGGAAAAATAAAGCAGGAGGAGGAAGTGTAGAAAAAAAAACTTTGAAAAATTCAACTTCAAAAATACAGATAAGCATAACTGATGTTTGCATAGTAAATTAGTCAAACAAAAAATATATTTTTCTTTTTCTTTTTCATTCCAATCCATCCAGCGGAATATTGAGTCTTTAAAGCTCAAGAAAACTTTGAGGCTTCAGTAGTTGTGGCATTAGTCGTTTTTACAAGTTGAGATTGTTAGCTTCACGTTCGACTTTCCTTCTTCACTGACTGGACTTACTACCGGTTAAGTAAGGTTTCTGAGTGATAGATAGGTAAGAGGATGTCTGCGAGCTATTTGGCAGTAGCATGATATGGCGAATTTGTCATGTCCAAGATTGGTCACAGTGACTGGTACATTCTCTTTGTACACTTTCGGCAGACCATATAAACGGGGAATAATCATGGAACCTGAGAGTCGTTCGTATTTGCTGAAATAATTCAGAGCCGATAATCGATTCGTTCTTCATCCTCTTCAGCATTTGTGTTATCTCTCTCCTTCAATCTGTTCCGTTTGGTGTTTATGGCTACTTTCTTTTGAAAATTTGTTTTCATCTGACATGACGGATAACATTCTATCGATGTTGTCTTAACGATCCATCAAGACAATGCCAACATTACATCGATAGAATGTTATCCGTCATGTCAGATGAAAACAAATTTTCAAAAGAAAGTAGCCATAAACACCAAACGGAACAGATTGAAGGAGAGAGATAACACAAATGCTGAAGAGGATGAAGAACGAATCGATTATCGGCTCTGAATTATTTCAACAAATACGAACGACTCTCAGGTTCCATGATTCCCCGTTTATATGGTCTGCCAAAAATGCACAAAGAGAACGTGCCACTACGTCCAATCTTGGATATGACAAATTCAGCATATCATGCTACTGCCAAATAGCTCGCAGACATCCTCTCCTACCTAACAGAAATAACCTCTGCAACCATAGTGTTTCTGAGTGAGCTGGTTGCGAATCGAACTCGGACGACATGTGCCGACAAAAGATAATTGCTCTCTTGAATGATTACCTTTTTCATCTTCAAGATTATGGCTATTTAAACAAGCGGGGTAGGGGGAATACAAAAAATGAAGATATATACAAGCAACGGTAGCCACGGAATTATGTCCTAATCAATTGTGAAGCTTCATATTGAAAATATTTCGGTAACGCCAAAAAAACAACAACATAAAACACTACAATATATTCTCAACCTTAAATTGTTGTGTAGAATTTTAAATGACGCTAAAGTTGGCGTAGGTAGATGATTCAATGTTTACACACTAAGCATCGGGTGATGATACAACTCACCTCTAAACGTCTCTCAGTTTAAACTAGAGCTACTAGGATACGAGTAGAAACAAAGCATAAACACTACGAAAAAGCAATTTTATGTGATCTAATCTACTACCTACACAGGTGACTCTAAAGTGGTCCAAACAAAATACCCATAGAAATTTTTTCAGTCCATAATTAAATGTCCTTATGTGTACATCGTAAATGGGCTATGTCGTTACAATAAGCATCGTTGTTAATAGAACACTGTAGAGGAAGTTACCCCGTTCACTTAACTGGCTTGGGGTAGTATTGTTTCAACCACAAGTGGCACAGATGATGATTTCAGTCAGTTAGGATTGGAAAACCAAGGTAGATCTTGATTAATCTGAAAGTATCCTGGAAGGCTAATCCACTCGGACTCAGAATAGGGAACAAGATTCAGATTTTCAATTCCAAGGCTAAATCAGTGCTTCTATATGGTTCAAAGACTTGACACGTCACCAAAAGGATTTCCAACAGGCTCCAAACTCCCACTAACAACTGCTCTCATCGCTCGATATTGAAGATTAAAAAAATAGACAGAAACGATAAGCAACAAGGAACTATGGTAGTGGGAGCGAACCTGTCAAGAACCTACAGTCCAGCAAATACTCAGAAGGAAACGGAACCAAATTGGAAACTTGTTGAGGAGACCATCGAGTGGCATTAAGCACCAGGACCTCGAGTGAAACTCAAGTGGGAAACGACATACTTGGCACTTGTTTGAGGGTGACTTGGAAGAGATATCATGTGAGAAAATAAAAGCTTATAGTTAATTGTGAAGTCTGTTAAAAAAGACCAATGATGACAGGGTGAAATGGAGGTGTGCTGCTAGTGAAGCATTCCTTTCCCCTCGGAACTCAAGTGAATAATAATAATAAATCCACTAATAAACACTTTTAACTCAAGATAAATGCAGTCGGCCATTTGTGGCAAAACACGGAACATAATCGACTATTATTTCACTTTATAGCACTCATCATTTCCACGCTAGTTTAAATACTTGATTTACTATTCAATTTTTTCTCAGCACAATTCGACTGACCGAGTTTCCGCGTAGAACTTTGTTCAGAAGTGTAGCAATTCAAGCTGCCACCCCCCATACACACACACAGAACACAAAGGTAGCGAGAAGAAAGAAAACAAGAGATCCACAATAACTCTAATGAGCTGAAATATGTGGGAGAAGGAATAGTAACATAGAAAAAACAGGCTATATTCCCTGAAAGTCTCCAACCATTAGGTTCTTAGCATCCCGACGACTCCAAAACCATGTTCAAACTATACCCTCCTATATGCCCTTAAAGCAACTGTCAAGGACCTCATACACTGTGGCTCAGCATAAATCACTACAAGATTCCGGTAACCATTGGTGGAAAACTTTAAATCGATAAAATCATATGACTTACAATAAAAGACATCCATGTATCATCCATTGGTTTCATAGCTATTCTCATTTGTTCACGTGTTGTGAAAACTTCACCTAGTTCAGTTAACAGCATAGCTTTGAAACTAATCGGAGAACCAGCATGAAGAAGCGTTGTTCTAGAAGAAGAAGAAAAACAACAACAACAACAACATATTAAATGACTAGTGAATCGGTATTATTAACACCTTGAAGATTAAAATTCAATATACACAATAATTTACTTGATTTAAAATGCCCATTATAAATTTCAAGAGATTGGAATTAATGAACAAAAGAATATTCTTTTCTTAATTTAGCCTTAGTAATTCACTAACACACTGATACACATACATACACACACATACATAACCTTCTACCAAATTTTTACAGCCTGATTTTCATATTATCATTACTATCAATCTGAATAAACTCCAATGTGAACAATAATCATGAACATTCCTCACAATATCTTCGGTGCTATTTATGATTGTTTTTGTTAAGAGTCGATTTGTAAGGATTGAAAACTGTGTCAAGGAGTACTGGACAGCTGTTTCATCCTGGTTTGTGACTCATCAGCAGTACTCTCTGGTTTTCAATGCTTCCCTCCCTAACTGATATCAATCCGTTGTCTAACTCGAAAAACAAATCAAATCTTTATAAATTTACTCTTGAAAAAATTAATCTGATGTTCGCTAGTGACTTTCTACATGACGAAGTTGCCTGAAGTTCTAGTGAGAAGTTTTGACCAGTGGGATCCGTCCAGTCGGGAGTGAGAATGGAGTTCCCACCAATGCAGTTGGTTGGTAGTCGAGCTAAAATCAAGAATTGGTAGAATTTAGATTTCATGGGCCGTTATATCGGGTCCCAGTGACTGAATGACCTACGAATTTGCCTTGTAACCAGAAGGTCCTGTTTTCGAAATCCAGTGGGTGCGTACTGCCGATGATTATGTATGTTTAAAATAAGCAACAAATGTGGAAAAAGAAGCAGGATTTAACGAGTTCATAAATTTCGGTAGACAAACACGTCAACTGCAATACTCTCTACAAATTTTTCTTATTTATACAATCTATTCATAAGGTTAAATACATGCAACAAACACATGAATGTTGTGAAAACAAATAATTTTGTTAAATTTTACAATTTTTACAATTCTAGCAAATTCTATTAACTTGTTTGTTTGTATCTTACGTAACTCTTCTGAGTGAGTCATCCTATTCTTCTTAGTCATCATTGCTATTTTATAAATTTCCTGATTATGTAATAACTTTTCGCCAACGTCTAAGAATCAACTTATCTAGAATTCCGTAATTAATTTCCACCCTTTCTTTTTAAAAAAAAACTTAGATATCATGTTACCAACATCTATGAGTTATTTGTTTTGATGACCTTTAACCTCTTGATTTCACCTCCGCCTATGCCTAAAACTGACTAATTGCAATAACCACTTGATTGGTAAAACATTTTCATGTAGAAAACAAATGTGTATTAGTGTAGAGCCAGTGGATGATGACGAACTATAATTGAAAAGAAATTTATTTCTTCGCTCAACCTGTTGTTGATTTTTTCTCAATACGTAAATGGGAATTTTTAAATAAGTGTCAATTTCAACAAAAAATGCATGAACTATAAGTAAGTGGTGAGTGATAATCTGTTAACGTTATTATTAAGTGAATAGTATTCACTTCACCAAAGCATACATTATCACAGATAAACTGGAGTTGTTGTTGTTGTAGTAGGAATGAATTAATGCAATTATAAACGCTTAAATTTGATTAAAATTAAATACAGGGAAACTCTGCAAAACACAAATAAATCAATTTGACATAATGTAAACCATATAGGACTAAATGACAGGCTTTTAAAATGACTCACCTTAACGCATAAGAGAGTCTTGACACTCTTCACTAAGATTAATACTCAACTCATTTCCCTCCTGATATTTGAAGCTAGATCGTCCGGTGCCTGAATGGCTGAATGACAGTGTTTCTAAAAACGTCACTAGGTGACGCGGGTTTGAATCTCTGGGAAACATGAGTTTAATGAAAACAAAACACGTAGTTCAGCAAAGAGTCTCTTTTCGGCGAATTCACTTTCACAGCTGTACTATCTCATATACATACGACAGTTATTTTGCATGCATGTGTACACTAAGTTTGTCAAACAAACTACAATTGGTCATGGTTATGTTAACTAAACAGGTGAAAATTAATAAATTTTGGATAGAGTCGTGTAATACAAAAACAGTCAAGGAAATTGGGTGTTAGTGAAACTAGTGTAGTGACAAAGGTGATGCGTTGTCACAAACAGTTGTTAAAAAGCAGTTACGTAATAATATGAATAGTTTGATGATTGAGTTGTACTCAGGATACACATAGGAACGAAGTAGAGAATGCGAAATTATGTAGTAGTTCTAAATGAATACAAGAATTATAAGCAATTAAAGAAACAGGCAGACAAACAAAATCAAGTCATCAAGAATCAACAAAGTTGTTACCATGATAATAGAAGTGGTTGACTAATGAATTTTCTTTTGTATGAGCAGGTCCGGTTTCTCCATGTGAATGGTCAGAGCTTCAGCGATACAAAGAAAACGAAACTGTATTACCTTTGGTAGGTTATTCTTGACTGTGTAGATTATTTTGAAGGAGGATGCGTTTGTTGTTGAGATGGGATGATCAGTGTTAACCAGGTGTTCAATTACCGCACTCCTTATTGCACCACTATCGCCTTTCGCAACCACGCTGGATACTGTTGTTGAATCCTCTTGGGCAGGATGCGCGTCGAATGACCAATGTACCTGCCGGCCCCACAGCAGCAGATGAACTGATATATGCACATAGAAGTAAGTGGTCCAATGCGGGATCTTGTCCTTAAGGCTTCTGCAAATCGATCAGTGGGCAACTGGAGAACACTATTCTTAGCGTTGCTGGAAAGAACGTTCTTCTCAAAGATGATGTGATCCTTCTCTTGAGAATATCGCTTGCTAAATCTTCCTTGAAATCCAAGTTCATGTACAGTTTGTTTTTCGGCTCAACTGAAGTTTCATCCCTCCAAATTCTCCGTTTGATATTTTTGTCAATGAATCTTGTTGGGTATCCATTTTCGATGAAGATTTTTATCAAAAGATGTGATTTTGTTTCTAGAACACCGGGAATACAGATGCGTTGGATGCAGGTGGCAAGGGATTTAATTCAACTCCGCTTTTGTTAGATGGGTAGCCAGCTATAGAGGCTTGTTAGTTGACCATTGCAAGTAGCTCTTCTATGGACGGATCTTCTTAAGGTTCTATAATCACGATAACAACTTCGTTGATTCTTGATGACTTGATTTTGTTTGTCTGCCTGTTTCTTTAATTGCTTATAATTCTTGTATTCATTTAGAACTACTACATAATTTCGCATTCTCTACTTCGTTCCTATGTGTATCCTGAGTACAACTCAATCATCAAACTATTCATATTATTACGTAACTGCTTTTTAACAACTGTTTGTGACAACGCATCACCTTTGTCACTACACTGGTTTCATTAACAACTAAGTTTCTTGACTGTTTTTGTTCTACCCAACTCTACCCAAAACTTAATAATTTTCACCTGTTCAGTTAAAATAACCATGACCAATTGTGGTTTGTAGTTTGTTTGACAAACTTAATGTACACATACATACAAAATAACTGTCATATGTATATGAGATAGTACAGCTGTGAAAGTGAATTCACCGAAAAGAGACTCTTCGTTGAACTACGTGTTTTGTTTTCATTAATGCCTGGATGGGGATTATCCATGAATTGAATCATGAGTTTCTTTATAGTTGCAGATACGTGTTACTGACGAGTACCAACAAGAACAAAAACCGCTTCTAGGGCATTTAAATAGAAAAGAGAAATGATCCGTATAATTTAACACTTTTATCACTGATAATATTTCATTTCTGCTTTATCCAGAATAATAATAGGCTCTTTCAGATTATACAGTGTGCAAGCAAAACGGTTATCTTACACATTATTAAGGAAAGCAGATACAAGGAAACAGGATCCACTGAAGATACTAGCTTAAGAGATTCCTGAAAATTTTCCAGGTTACTGTGCCGGACTATTTATCAGCTCGAAATCGGTGGTACTTCTTCTAGCTGGAGATTGTAAAATACCTAATTTTCGCTTATTATTCTATCCAATAAGAAGAAAATAATGATCATTGTGACAGTCTTAGTTGTCGATTTTCAACTTATTAATGATTATACATACAACTTGAAAAATAAATACAATTCAATTTTGGTTTTTGCAGAATCACACTAACCTGAATCCACCTCGATTCATATGTGGTGTACTTTGAAAACTTGCTATCAGCATATCAATCAAGCTGTTGCCTAAACCTGAAGCAATAAGCCAATCTATGGCTTCTGTAAGCCAACTAAGCCATCCTCCAGCGTCTATAGCAGCCATTTTCTCCGTTAGCTGATCACTAGTTCTATTTCTTCGGTGATAATCAAATTCATCATCTAATTGTGTTACAATTGGATCTAAGCTGTCACGTACTTTGGCGAGTAATTGAGAATGCATCTAAATTAGAAAATTAAAAAATATATATATATATATAATGATGTAGATAAAGTAGTCAATATTAAACTGGACGTTTTTCATGAAAGAATACACCTACAATACGAATGCCATCACTACAGGTCTACAGAAATTTATAGGTAGCAATGTATGTATTGGAATATTTAGCATCACGAAAGGTGGACTTCAACGTAGCCTAGTATCTATTCAAAAACGAAGGTGAACTTATCTAGTATTCTTCATAGTTCCAAACTCTTCAACACTGTCTACTACACAACTACAAGGGAGATTCAGTCGATCATTGGCAGGTCAAAATAGCCAGCACTTTATCTGTGATCCATTAGGTTAATAGGCGATTTCAATAATTACCACTTAAATACAGGTAACACATTTCATTTAAGTTCAAGTATTGGTTTGTAGGGATTTGGTTGATTGGTTACAGGATTTCATCATGAGCTGACATTGGTTAGAGAACCATTGGAAAACCTGGGAGTACTGGACAGAAGTTTCGTCCTAGTTTGTGACTCTTTAGCAGTACGCGCCCATCAGGGTTCGAACCCAGGATCTTCTGGTTACAAGGCGAGCTCGTATACCATTTAGCCACTGGGACCCGATCCAATGGCCCATGAATTCTAACTTCTGCCAATTCACGATATAGCGCAACCGCTAGCCAATGTCTTCGGCGAGTATTTGTTCTCACTTTAGACCTGCTGCACCCTACTGGTCACGACTTCCCCCTGGAACCCCAGGTAACTACCTACCTGAATAGGGCCCGTCGCCAGTGAGCATCTCATTGATGTTCATTTAACCAGGACATCTAAATATCTATTTAGCTATGAACTATGATTAGTGATTAAACATTGGTAAACAAACTAGTTCGACAAGTCACGATATATGGACGGTGACTGAGGCAAAATCTTTCTGGACAAAAGTCCGTGTTGAATCGCAGCACCTCAACAAAAATTCATCAGCTACACATATCATGAATTGGTAGAGGTTGGAATTCATGGACCACTGGATTTCATCTCAGTGACTGAATGGCCAACGAGGCCACTTTGTTACCTAAAGGTACTGGTGTTCGATCCCTGGTGATGCTGTGGGTGCGCAGTGATGAAGAGTCGCAAACTAAGACGAAACAACCGTCTAGGACCACCTTGTTAGTTTTCAATGGTTCTCCATCTGAAGTCAGTTAGTGATCAAATTGACAATCAGTCAGACTCCTACGAATTTATAAGCTAAAAGTGCTAGTGCTTTCTCTTGAAGTGTACTACAAGTTCATAATGTGCCGTGGAAGTCAAATAAAGAAAACAGGGTATTGTATGTTTTTCCAAAGGAAAAATCCTGTGAATCCTAAACTGCTGACTCGACTCCTATACAAAAAAGCAAAAGTAATCATAAAGCTACGGATACAACTTTTATTAGATGGTGTATGAGAAACGCTTATAGATAAGATTCTCTCAATGAAAAGTTTCACATAAATATATGAATGTGTATTTCATACAAGTTTTAAGAACAAAAACAAAAAGTGATGGGTTCCATATTCTCGTCAATTAACCGCACTGCTAGTTAATAACATTTAAAATGGCCCAGTGTAGATTTCGTCACGAATCGACATCAGGTGAACAATCACTGAAAGCCTAGGAGCACTAACTAGCTGCTCCCTAGTGGTTTAAGGCCCTTCAGCAGTCCGCACCCATGACACACTCACTTGGGATTGAAACCCATGATGTTTAGTTTACCAGGCCAGGGCACTAACTATTCAGTCACGGAGTGTCAATTCAGTGACTTGTGAACTTTAACTTACGTTAATTAGAGAAGAGTTCCAAGAAAGAATGAAACACGTATCCAGTACTCTTGGGCCTACAGTGATTCACTAACAGATGTCCGTCCGTGACAGAAACTCTGCTGAAATTAATCCAAATCCCTACGAAACCCGAAATCTGAATAAAGTGTTTATATAATTCCTTCTGAGCATCGGTGATTCATAACATAGAATGCTTGCCAACCACGTTCGTGGTCCAGGGTTCGAATCCTGGCCGACACACTGCTAAATATGACTTGGTAGGTAGTAATCCCGGCAAAGACGGAGACAACCAGACAGGCTTTAAACCAGGAAGAGGGTGTGTAGACCATATCTTCACTCTTCGACAGATTCTGGAACATGGGCATATTTACCAGAGTCCAACAATCGTCATATTTCTTGACCTGAAGGCGGCATTCGATTCTGTCTTTGAAGGGAATACCAAGAAAATACATCGCACTGATAATGGCACTTTACTCGAACTCATGCAGCCAGGTGAGAGCTTACAGCGAGCTGTCATCTGAGGTGGTGACAACCAGTGGTGTCCGTCGGGGATTCACACTATCCCCATTTCTATTCAACTTCATCATAGATGTACTAATCTATTTAACACTAACTGACTTCGGTAACTCGGTCATTGACTTGTTAGCAGAGAATAATCTCGTTGACTTAGAATATGTATGCGGATGACACAGTCCTCCCTGCTAGATGAAGACGCTGACAAAATAGAGCAGAGTCCTTTCAACACCTTGAGGAGCAGCAATCTTCGAATGCTTGTCATGTGATTCGCTCCCGCCAAATGTAAGATGATGTGACTGCAGGACTGGACTACACCAACTATTTCTAGCGTCAAGATAGGGAGTGAAGTAGTTGGTGGAGCGTGTTGACCACTACAATTAATTTACTTGGGGAGTTACATCAGTTAGTTCCAGCGGGTTAGTCTCCGAAGAAATCTGAGCTCAGATACAGAAGGCTCATTTGGTATTCGCCTGTCAACATACGCCATCTGCGGCGTACACGTGATATTCGGCCGGCTGTCGATCAAAGGGCGTGTGTACTACTCGGCAGTCTGCTCCGTCCTCCTTTATGGCTATGAGACATGGCCATTGAAAGTGGAAGACATGAAAAGTCCGGCTAGCTGTCTTTGATCATAGGTTTCTGAGTTCTGTCTCCCGTGTGAAGTCGTATAATAGAATGAGCAATATCGAGGTAACGCATCGGTCGAGTGTTAGGTAGGTGGGAGGGGAAATCAATCAACGAGGCTGTGAAGCAGCTGCATCGACTGAAATGGTTAGGACATGTGTTACATATGCCTAGCCATCGCTTTCCTCGACTGACAGGCAATGTTACTTCACTGAGATAGGATCAGGTTGAAAAAGAGAGAGAGCTAGTGATGGTCAAACCAAAACATGGCTTCATCAGCTGATATATATATATATATAATTACTTGTTATTTTATGCTACCTACCTTTTTCACTTAAAAATATATAATCGGTGATGACAAAAAGTCAGATTAAAATCTGGGTCGCAGCAGGACTCGAACCAATGACCTACGGATTACGAACCCAACGCTCTTACGCCCCATAGATCAACTGGCAGAATATTAGACTAGTAATTCTGAGGGTTTTGCTTTGAATCACGCCATGGTATTTATTATTATTCCCTTGGTTTTCGAGTAGAATATAGCGTTCAAGAGAGTATCTCCTTTTCACTCGTTGTCTGCAGTCTATACAAGTTGGCTCCACGACTGCCTATAGTCTCTCATTCTCTCCATATCACCCTCGGTCTCACGTCCAACTCGTCGTTTCCCATTCAAGTTCCACTTGACGGCCTGCCAAGTGACGTCACTCAACGGTGTGCATCCGATCCATCTCTATTTTCTTCGGCAGATTCGTAAGGCTACAGGTTTTTCGTTGGTTCGTTGTACTGCAGAGCTCCTTGTTACTGAGCCTTTCTAGCCACCTAATCTTTAGTATGGGGCCATCGAAGGTAGTTGTGGGTAAAATTCTCTAGCAGCTTGTTGGAAATGCTTTTCGTGACACATCAAGTCTCTGACACGGTGTGTAGGTTTCCATTTCACCTCCAATCAATCATCCCCCCCATCAAAATTAATCGTAGTTCACCAGCCTAGGGAGCTATGTCAGAAACTCTCACCACCAATTAAAAACTATGCCGTTCTGTGAAATTGTCAGGTGTGTACAAATCAAATCAAAGTTATTACAACTAGACGCATGGACTATGTAAACGAATTTTTTAACAATAAAAATGAGCAAACAAAATAAAGGATAAAAGACATAATACAAGCATCTCTAAATATCTCATTTCTACTTATTTAAAAAAAAATATCCTAATGAATAAACAAACATACTTGGATATATGTAGTTCGCATGCGTTCAGCTTTAGCCTGTAGATCTCTATCTACACGAGGATCTAATCCTTCAAGACTAAACTCTTCGTATTTTTTAGTATTGATTGAAACAACAGAGCATGAAGCATTTTGTAATAACGGTGGTGGTCTATTCGGTAGAACAGGTAAAGGTTCATCTAATAGTGGAACTTTTTTACTTTCAATTAACCAGTGTAAATTTGTTACTGAATGAAGTCGTTGACTCCAGTCAGCAAGAATACCATGATGTCTTTCGAGACTTTCAGTTGAACGTAATACATCTCGGTAACAGTCTGCAGCTTGAACTAACTGAAAATGAAAACAAAAAGGGGGAATTAATTTATTTATTAATTCAACTTAGATTATCATAAAAACTATGTGATACTGTGTTGGTTCTTTTATGCGTTTCAGTTGACTTGTCTGTATTAAAATTAACTACTTGAGATTACTTGACAGACAGATTTGAACTTGAGTTGTATTGCCTTAATATTATGAAATTGGTTAGTGGAAATGGCTAACACTGAATGATTTCCTTTAGTTTGGCTTCCTCAAATAGTCACATTTTTGGACGGTGAAGACTGTCGTTCACAATTTCATGTTATCGGGTTTATTGTTAGCGTCTTTTTTCTTTTGATCGTTGTTCTAGTTTGAACCTACTTTCTGATAACATCCTTGAACAAGTTTTTCCTTCATACATCTATTCGTCTTTATGAATTTGAATAAAGCAGGAAAACAATAGTTTGTGCAGAATAAGATGGTACCATCATTTATTTCGTTGACTTTTCATCAGCTGCTTACAGCGTAGAGATATTATTAAGTTTATATACAGAAAGAATTTTAACATGCAATTTTTACATGATGTCAGTTGACAGAGAGTCCAAGTTTAGAAAAAAAACCAATGTATGGTAAATGAATTACGTAACAAAGACTAGAGGTTAAAGCAAAAGATTACGCAATCACGTGAAAGGGAGAATAAAGACATCCAGTTACCAGGGTAAGGAAAGACTGATAACTACTTCTTTCTGAACACATAAATCGAGTTTCAGACATTTGATAAAGATTACTTTAGCGAACTGGAAGAGAACTGGGCGATTTTGTCTATTAATGAGGATATGCCTAGCAATGGCACTATTGAAAGCGTTTGTTCCGTTGAGACGTATACTTTTTGGTACATGTTCAGAAAAACACAGGTGTGCCGTTCTTTCTGTTCTCTCTGTTTGGCTGTTCCTGTAGATACATGTATATCTGTATACACAGCTGGAGTTAACATGAGAAGGGTATCTGTCAACTTTTGATTCAAGAAAAGAGCATGTTTTTCGATAAAGAGGAACTAACACACCCGCAGGATAAGATCAGGTTGGTGACGTATTCAACCTTCTATTGACTATTCCAGCAATATTACCACCTTTGTATATATATATATATATATATATATATATATATATATATATAATATTATTGTTTCCTTTAGTTCCTAGAGGAACATAGGGCTTCAGTCGCACGTCTCCATTTTCACCTGGCCCTACGTCTTCCCACATGCTTTCATCTCCTCTTCACATAACCTCCTCCATATCACCTTTGGACGACCGAATTGCCACTTCCCGTTCGGATTCCACTCGAGGGCTTGTCTTGTGATGTCACTTGATGGTTTCCTCAGAGTATGGCCAATCCATCTCCATTTCTTCCTGCCTATTTGTTGCACAATCGGTTCCTGGTTAGTTTGCTCCCAGAAATCCCTGTTGCTGATCTTTTCTGGCCATCTGATCTAGAGTATTGAGCATATATATATATATATATATATATATATATATATATATATATATATATATATGGGATGCCAAATGTCACTGAGCGATATACCTTAAAAATGTGAAGCATCAATGATCCGAACGGGCTATAAACACTGAGTGAAAGGCTTTTTTTCCTTCCCATAGACAAGTAGTGTTGCTCTTCTCTTAAAAATGCCATATACAAGTGTTCGTTTATATAATATCCAATATAAAGCAAAATATATGTGTAATTTAAGACACTACATAACTAGAAAGAAAATGCGCAGACTAACTAACAATTAATTCTACTCCAAAGTTGTTTTTTTCTTTCGAAAGTTAGGACAAAGATATACCTAATACGTATTACACTCTTCTTACCTCATTTTTGATAATGAAACAACCAGCAGCACCATTTTTATTGAATACCCAAGTACGTAAAAGTCCTTCACATTCTCTTCTCGTTTCATCAACAACTCGACGTATAACTTCAGTCATCGTAAAACATCTATTTCGAGAATAGATAAAAGGCGAAAAAATAACTGGTACATTACTTAGTAATAAAAAGATAGTTATGTGTATAGGAGAGCTTCGTTTCAGTCTCAGTGGAAACCTATTATTATTATTATTATTATTATTATTATTATTATTATTATTATAACACAAGCATGATACACTATGAGCACTAACAAGATCTCATATTTTATACAAGAACTCGGATACTGCCCGGACGCTCAGATTGAAGCAGGTGGTTATCTTAGGCGGCCAGCTGCCAAGCCTTTGACTTAAAGTCTGATTCACAAGGCAGTTGAGTAGCGCCAGTAGCTGAGTTTGCATGGATTCCGGCGACTAAAACAGCTTTATATGCCATTAGATCCAATCGGATTCTGAAGCCAATGTACACACCACAGGTTTGGAATCAGGGTTTTACAGCTCCCAGTTAGGTTGAAAGCACCAGACTTTCTTACTCACCCTTTCAGTTTCATGCGAAACACCTCACCGTATGAAGTTAGTGAATAGGATTTACTTTGAAGAGGCTTTGAACGCGTGGCTACATGAGAGCGATTCGAGAGGTAGACCACCTACGGCCGTACCAGGTGACTTATGGGGGCGATATCTTGAAGGAACTAATGTCCACTTTGAGATATGAGTCCATATCACCCAAGAGCTACAATTAGAGACCTTACACCACTGAGCTATTATGGCTCCAGGAAAAACACATTATGAGGTCATCGACTACATGCAAGACCTGGATGTATTTAACAAAATTATGCTGTCCTTCGACATTGAATCACTTTTCACCAATGTCCCACTCACGGAAACAGTTTGCCTTATATATAAATATATAGATGAAAACAATCTCAAATTGGAGTACCAACAGCATATTTGAAGGAATTACTACTGAGATGCACTCTGAACGTACATTTCACTTTCAACGACATCATCTATAAACAAAAAGATGGTAGTGCAATGGGATCTCTGTTGGGTCCACGACTACCAGACTGCTTCGTGGCAAGCCTCGAGAAAGGTTCACTAAAGCCGACCGTTGAGAATTTACGACTGTATAAAAGATACGTCTATGACATATTCATCATTTGTGACAACAGTAATAACCCCAATCTACTGCTGCAGACATTTAACTGTTGCTATCCAGCAATAAAATGAAAAAGGAATCAAAAATTCCTTTTCTCGATGTGGAACTAACAAGAAGAACTGACGGGACCTTAAGAAGGTCGATCCATAGAAGAGCTACTTGCAATGGTCAACTAACAAGCCTCTATAGCTGGCTACCCATCAAACAAAAGCGGAATTGAATTAAATCCCTTGCCATCTGCATCCGACGCATCTGCAGTCCCGATGTTCTAGAAACAGAATTACATCTTTTGAGAGGAATCTTCATCGAAAATGGATACCCACCAAGATTCATTGACAAAAATATCAAACGGAGAATTTGGAGGGATGAAACTCCACTTGCGCCAAAAAATAAACTCCACATGAACTTGGATTTCAAGGGACATTTAGCAACTTTGTTGATTTTTGATTTTGTTTTTCTGCCTGTTTCCCTAACTGCCTATAATTCTTGTATACATTTAGAACTACTACGTAATTTCCTGTTCTCTACTTACTTCCTATGTGCATTCTGAGTACAACTCAATCATCAAACTATTCATATAATTGCGTAACTCCGTTTTAACAACTGTTTGTGACAACTCATCACCTTTGTCACTACACTAGTTTCATTAACACCCAATTTCCTTGACTGTTTTTGTATTACACGACTCTACCCAAAACTTATTAATTTTCACCTGTTTAGTTAAAATAACCATGACTAATTGTGGTTTGTAGTTTGTTTGACAAACTTAGTGTACACATGCATGCAAAATAACTCTTATATATATATTGGCGAGTGTACAGCTGTGAAAGTGAATTCACCGAAAAGAGACTCTTCGCTGAACTACGTGTTTTGTTTTCATTAAACTCATGTTTCCCAGAGATTCAAACCCGCGTCACCTAGTGACGTTTTTAGAAACACTGTCATTCAGCCATTCAGGCACCGGACGATCTAGCTTCAAATATCAGGAGGAACATGAGTTGAGTATTAATCTTAGTGAAGAGTGTCAAGACTCTCTTATGCGTTAAGATGAGTCATTTTAAAAGCCTGTCATTTAGTCCTATATGGTTTACATTATGTCAAATTGATTTATTTGTGTTTTGCAGAGTTTCCCTGTATTTAATTTTAATCAAATTTAAGCGTTTATAATTGCATTAATTCATTCCTACTACAACAACAACAACTCCAGTTTATCTGTGATAATGTATGCTTTGGTGAAGTGAATACTATTCACTTAATAATAACGTTAACAGATTATCACTCACCACTTACTTATAGTTCATGCATTTTTTGTTGAAATTGACACTTATTTAAAAATTCCCATTTACGTATTGAGAAAAAATCAACAACAGGTTGAGCGAAGAAATAAATTTCTTTACAATTATAGTTCGTAATTGTGGTGGACTGGATTATGCGTCAGACAGTGAGAAACGAGAAGACAGGGACCGACGTGAAGAATCTAGAAGACCTGGATTTCGCGGATGATTTGTGTTTGATGTCACACAAAATCGAAGACTTACAAGCGAAAACCGACAAACTGGTCGAAGAAGCAGCAAAGACAGGACTGCAGGTGAACATACACAAGACGGAGGTTATGAAAATAACCAACCAACCAACAACAACAACAACAGCAACATCCAGCGCCAATTACAATCAACGGGATTGATTTGAAAGAGGTTACTTCATTCACTTATCTAGGGAGCATTGTCTCGACTACTACTACTCAGGAAAACAAAACTATACATCTATTTTTCGTGATGGACAGTAACTTTTCACAAAGTTGTATAACCAAACGGTTAGAAAGCTATATTTAAACACATTGGTTCATGAAATAGGTTGGTTGGTTTCGTAGAAACTCAGTTACACAGCGCTAGACCATGGGCCGCACACACACACGCACACAATTATTATATGAGGCCTGGTGATACTAACCAGTTGAACGGGCTGAAGTAGAGCTCGAAGGATACGAACCTGGGACCCATTGGCTAAAAGTCCAGTGCTGAAGCCAAATCTACATGTTTCTCAAAGTGAGAAATCTGACAAAATACTGGTTCTTCGTATATGTCAATACAATACAATAAAGAATGTCTATGATTATTAAGTGTAACGTATAATAGCATTATAATATCCACTAAATAACATTTTATATCTCGGTAGAGTTTCGTAAACCCCCTCTTACGACTTTGAAATCTGACTTCCAGAATAAATAAAATGCTTTCCCCTCATCGGTCACTACAATACTATGATAGACTGGATCTCAAAATAGAACTGTGCACAGAAGTTAAAGTTGCCACACTTCATATAGCACACAAACATAGAGAAAAGAGGGAGAAAGAAAATAAGAAAGAACTGCAATGCGCAGATGAGTATGGGAGAAAGAATAGTGACATGGAGAAACATGAGGAATTAATGGATCGAGGACATCACAAAGAATGAACGCATCTGCACCACTGAGAATGGTTTTGGGTCAGACCACCTACAGTCTCAAAGCATTGGCTTTTAGCGACCCAAGGACCCCATTCAGGTAGTCTACACCTCCTTTACATGGCTCAAAACAACAATCAAAAGATTCATGGATTGATGTCAGGTTTCGGCTTGACCAATCACTCCTAGCTCTTCTCCAACCTAATCGTATATCATCTAACAGTGCTCAGCGAGGAAGGCAGTGACTCGGCATGTGCAGCAGTATTATGATTTCTCGAAAGATAGAAATTCCTGAAACTTTTTTATGAAAACAGAAAATCGATCATATATGAAAAATTAATTAAGTAAGTGTATTGTGAAAATGTTAGTCGTAAATGGACTGAGAAAGTATAATCAAAAAAAAAAAAATTGAAATGATACATCTTAGTACTTACCCAGTGCCTAGATTACGATGGGCTTGTGCACCAGTTACAATAGCAGCACTATCAGAATATTGATCATCTTCGTTAACGCCTACACGTACCATATTAGCAACTATTTCAGAATGTCCACGTCTTGTTTGATTACTTTTAGCAACAACAAGACTAGGATGTGTACATGCTTGACGTAGTCGAGTGATTAAATAGACTAAACGACAGTGTGCATCTGTAGGTAAACTGCATAATGGTTCATCAGGTGAAAGTGACAATGTTTGAACTAAACGTCCTAATGCACCAGCTGATTGAGCTAACACACGATCATGTATGTATCGTTCAACAGGAGTGAACGTGATCCTTAGAAAATTTAAAATATACAAAAAAAAGTATTAGGACACTTTAAGTTTAATAGTGGACTGTTAAAGGGAATTGATTATACATTGAAGAAAAAACACTAGCAACGGCAGAAACAACTGATAAATTTACTTCAGTTGACGTGCATTCCTTACGTTCTGAGTGGAACACCGGGCCTCAAGATTTAGACGTTGAAATTTCAGTAGCGGTGGCGTTCTTTATTTACGGAATTGGGGTGCTAGCTTCCCCTTCAATTTACTCTTTTTTTCCGGCCTTACTATCAGTAAGTTAACTAGGAGTAGTTTAGCCTCTGAGAATCGAACCTAGATCACATGCATAGTTGACGAACCCCGGATGCATGACACTTTACCTCTAATGTACACTAAATATAAACAAACGAGGTTATTTTCCCATCAATCGCCATTAAATTCCCATAGTAATAAAAAACTAAGCGAAGGACTACACAGTTTGTACTCGGTCAAAGAATAAACTGAAAAGTCTAAATGTTAAACATGAAGCATTTTTATACCGTTGTGCAGATGAGACGGAGATTCAGACTCCAAGATGAAGTGACTTAATAGTTTGCCTAATATTTGCAATATTCTACGCTAGTTCTTGCAGAGGCGTGAGTCACCCTTTTTTGGTAGCTTGCCAAGGTAGCCGTTTTTCCAATCGGTAGGCACCTTTCTTCCCTTCCAAACCTTTTGTAATAATAATGGTGTGAGGCACTGCAGCAGATGTGCTCACGCCATTAAACACACTGGAAAGCTATAGATGTTATATTACGATGCCAGTAAATAGTGTTAATCAGAATGCGTGAAAAACGTAAAAAGATGACCTTTTTTGATAACCAATATAAAACACAATGCTTGATTAGTTAATTTCCACTAATGGTTTATAGTTTTTAGAATAAATAATATGAAATAGCCGCCTGCAGTAGCATCGTAACCATAACTTACCAGTGAGTTTGTTCAGTGAGTGGAGGTATGGCAAGCTGATCACCTACAAGTGATTTAGTATTTCTCCATAAAATTCTACTAATAATTTTTCCTAAATCAGTCCTAGCAACAAGTGTTTCATCAATGAATGAATTATCCATATCAGGCTTGAGTTCATTTTCAGAATCCGAGTTTTCCTTGCCCCAGGATGTAGAGCATGCAGCAAGAAATGGTTGGTATAACAAACTATTCCAGTAGTGTGAAAAAGAATACGGTGTCAGTCGAAGGTAAGCGAATAGGCCAAAAAAGTCTGAAAAAATATAGAAGAATGAGGTAGATAGATAATTAGTTAATATGATAATCAGACTTTGTGACATATATCAGACAGACATGCAATGCAATCAGCGAATGACATATGAAAAGTATAATACTGCATTATTTTCAGCAGTCAGGAGAATCGGTATTTACACGAATCTACAGCACTGACTGCTAAGAAGAACAGCCCTAGTATAAAATGCATACCCACCATGGTGTTGTTCACAGAATGTGACAAAAAAAAGGGAATTTAGGCATATCTGCTAATGCTTACGCATCTGAGACATATTTTGATAAAGTTACAAGGCACTAATTTACATTCATGCATACAAATATCTATTGGTCACTTGACTTAACAAAGTAAACTCATCAGAATGCCAAGCTGTAATATTAAGATATTTGGGATTAGAGAAAAAGGAATAGGCATTATTTTAATAAAGACGATTGAATGAATAACAGGTAATTTAGCCCGTAGTAAATTGAAAAAAAAACAAGTAACAACTGTGAAAAAAAGAAGCAGGATTTAACGAGTTCATAAATTTCGGTAGGCAAACACGTCAGCTGCAATACTCTCTACAAATATTCTTATTTATACAATTTCTTCATAAGGTTAAATACATACAACAAACACATGAATATTGTGAAAAAAAAATAATTTTTACAATTCTAGCTAATTCTATTAACTTGTTTGTTTGTATCTTACGTAACTCTTCTGAGTGAGTCATCCTATTCTTCTTAGTCATCGTCGCTATTTTATAAATTTCCTGATTATGTAATAACTTGTCGCCAACGTCTAAGAATCAACTTATCTAGAATTCCGTAATTAATTTCCACCCTTTTTTTTTAAAAAAAAACTTAGATATCTTGTTACTAACATCTATTAGTTATTTGTTTTGATGACCTTTGACCTCTTGATTTCACCTCCGCCTATACCTAAAACTGACTAATTGAAATAACCACTTGATTGGTAAAACATTTTGATGTAGAAAACAACTATGTATTAGTGTAGAGCCAGTGGTTGATGACGAACTATAATTGAAAAGAAATATATTTTTTTCGCTCAATCCGTTGATTTTTCTAAATGCGTAAATCGGAATTTGGAAAATACTGAGATAATTATATGCTTTCAAGTGTTGCTTTTTGCAGGGATTTGATTGATTTGACGATTGATCATGAACTGAATTCAGCTAGTAAATCATTGAAAACCAGGGAGTACCCCACAGTAGTTTCGTCCTATTTCGGGACTCATCAGAATTACACAACCATAACCCTTTCGCTAGGGGTCGAACCAGGGACCTCCAGGTTACGAGGCTAGACAGTTGACCATTGGAGCCACTTGGACGGAATCCAGTGGTCCTAACAATTCGTGATACATAGCTCAACTGTCAGCCAGTGTCTTCAACGAGTATTTGTCCTCACACCCAACACAACTTGCTAGACCACGCTGGTCAAGACTTCTCTTCTGTACTACCTGGTTTTCAATAGTTCTCTGGCTGACGTGTTTCAATTTCACCTGATACAATTTAGAGGAAGTGAATTATCAGTAATAAATCGCTTTAAACAAATCAAATATAGGACAATACACTTATCACATTCATTTTCAAAGTAATTTCAACTGACCATCTATGCTTTTTTCAGCTGGTGTACCAGTAACACACCATCTATTAACAGCAGTGATTTGTGATAACATTCGAGCAGTTTTCGATGTGACACGTTCCACCATTTGTGCTTCATCTAAACAAATCTGTTATGTTACATAAACAAAAGTAAGAAATATATAAATAAAATTGAATCATTTGTGTAAATACATTTAACTTTGAGTTACACTACCAATAAAAGAAAAATAAAGGAATCATGAACACTACCAAACAAGATGATTCAATAAACAAACCAGTTATCCGATGAAATATGCATTCAATAAAAATATAAAAAGAAGTGAAACATAGGGCTTCAAGTTTGGTCTGTGAAGTTTCTGTAGGCGTGATGTTCATTTTTTTATACGATGGAATTGCTAACCTCACATCCGATCCTTCTTCTTTACCGGACTGACTGCCGGCTAAGAGAGGTTGAAGACTATGTGGGCCAGGAATCGAACCCAAGCGACGTAGGTGGCGTGGTTGGCGAGCATTCTACCATAGAACCATCGACGCACTATGTGATCAAATATTAAACCGTTTAATTAAGTTTCGTCATTAGAAGGTAGAATTCATCGTGTACCGGTATTGATTGAAGCCTTAGTTTTCATTGTTTCTCTTACTGAAGTTACTTCGTAAAGTAATGAAACCTAGAAAACAATCAACTCTCTAAAACTCAAATCTCCATCACTGGATGACGACTTAAGAACTGTAATAACAAGTATGGAGCTTGTAATCTGTCTGTTTAATGCAACTGTTTATTAGTTATGTAGGGCAGATAGAGTAGTAAGGCATGCTTTTACGACCAATTTTTGTCCTGATATGATACTTTATCGTTATATGTTTTTGTAAGGTTTGACGTGTCGAATTTTTAAATGATGAAAATGTTTATTAATAAAATATACCTGCTTTGAGGATATTTTGATTAATTGTTTGTAGTACATACGTGAGAATACCTAGTACAATGAAATCTAATGAAGTGTTCAGGTATTTATGACAATTAATTGACGAAAATTAATTTACATCTTTATTATTATCATTGTTTCCTTAGTTCCTAGAGGAACATAGGGCTTCAGCAGCACGTCTCCATTGCATTTGGTTCTCTGAGAACGTTTTCACCTGGCTCCAAGTCTGTCCACATGCTTTCATCTCCTCTTCACATGACCTCCTCCATGTCACCCTCGCACTGACGACCAACTCGCCGCTTCGCGTTCGGGTTCCGGCTTTACAGTAACATTTTGTGAATTTACTCGGAATTCTTTTATTCAAGGAAATATTCTTGTTCGATAGAGCGCACTTACTTCAGAAACATTAGGCTGAGAAGTAGCCACTACATCACAATTTAGCACTTTGCAGAGACATCCTATTTGTGAATTGGTGTTTCAGCGGTAGAATGCTTGCCGGTTACGCAGGTGGTTCAGTTCCAAACCCTGGCTGAGGCACTCCTAGACCTGGCCAGCTGGTATAAGTCAAGAACAGAGGGAAGATTGGACGTGAGGCTACCATTCCCATCCAGTAAAAACAACACTCCCGCTACTGAAACCTCTGAGCCTGTAGTCCTGTGTTCCACTCGGAGCGCAAGGAATGGGAAAAGACATTGTTAAACAGTTTCTAATTAGGACGGAGAAAAGGTGTCTATTGCTAGTGTCAGCTTGTAAAGAGACCCACCATAAAGTGAATCCGATTTTCACGAACCTAACAAATTTATTGATTCATTGAAAATGTTGGAAGTATTTTAAAGATTAAGTTGAAAAGGAAATATCGCAGCACAGTTGTTTTTGTGGATGGATAGATTTCACCAGATGATTATACTTACAGGTAGCAGTATATTACAAATAAATGGCCCTTTAGTTGCTTTAGTTAGCAATTCTACGTTTAGCAAGCCAATGGGTTTTGGGCTCGAACACAGCTCTCTCCTTCTCTCTCTCTCTACCAGAAATTAGCAACATAATTAGTCACTATCGTACATAACAATTATTTTACAAAAAAGACAACTATAAGGGCTTTACCGCAAAGAGAAAAAACAACTCAAAACCAATTGAAAATATGAATTAAATATACAAAAGCCATTACCCTCCACCAACGAACACAAGTAAGTGGACTAGGGCGACAAAGATAACGTTGAGTTAAACGCAATTTCGGCCTATGTCCATGGCCAGATTGACGACTTGCAACAACTTCAGCCCAGTCTAATTCACGTTGAACTACAGAGTATGAGGTGAGTACAACATCGGCACATGCTAATTGAGGCGGTTGAACGAAACCAGGGAGAATTGTTTTTTCGTGAGTTCTATCCTCCGAAACAAATTTTGCAGAAACATGGGTACGTAAAGCAAAAGGATTTGTGTTTCCCTGCTCTTTAACAGATCCACGAATCCCAAGGTCAACATATGTCACAGGAGCTTCCATACCGGCATAAATCTGAAAAATAAAGAAGTAGGACAACATTAACTCAGTGTAAGTTATTCGCAAATCATGATTTACAAGATAATTTGGCGCAACTCTTAGCTTAGTTACTCCTCAGTTTGATATTCTAATGCATCAAACGGTAGCCAGATATCCGAATGCGGGTTCACTGGTTTCCTTAATTGTTGATGAATTTCACTGGCAAGTCACTAAAAGGAGCTAAGAAGTACAAGGGGTTATTGGGGATACAATGATCAAATACGAAGGCGATTAACAGGCACAATTACTTCAGTATCATATAAAAACTAATGAAGGCCGAATTCACGGGAACCGAAGATGAGAATAGATGAAAACTATAAGGCAGTGAACAAATCAATCGATAAAAAATAAGCACAGACCGAATTCTTCAAATTAAATGCAGCTAGAGGAATTCCGTCAGTGCAAAAACACTTACAGATCACCATAGAACCCATATCTACAAGATATGAAAAAAGAATTCCATGATAAATCCCTTTTAAAGCAATCGGTGCCTTAGTTGTAATACTAAGATAACAGCCTATCTAATAAAACAGCCACAACTAATCGACAACCGAGAGCCAGAAAAGAACAAACACCAACGGATCGGTCATTTGCTCCGCTCCGTCCTCCTTTATGGCTGTGAGACGTGGCCATTGAGAGCGGAAGACATGAAAAGATTAGCTGTCTTTGATCATAGGTGTCTGCGTTCTACCTCCCACGTGAAGTGGTATAATAAGGTGAGCAATATTGAGGTTAGGCGTCGAGTGCTAGGTAAGGCGGGGAAATCAGTCGACGAAACTGTGAAATTACATCGACTGAGATGGTTAGAACATGTGCTACGTATGCCTAGTCATCGCCTTCCTCGACGGGCAATGTTAGCTGATATAGGGTCAGGCTGGAAAAGAGCTAGTGGCGGTCAAACCAAAACATGGCACCAGTCAATGAAATCCACAACAGTTAGCCTAAGCCACGTAGGAAGATGTAGACTTCCTGGTTGGGGTCCTCGGGACGGTAAGAGCCAATGGTTGGAAACAATTGGTGACATGGCTCAAAATTGTTCTCAGTGGCGCAGATGCATCCACTCCTTGTGACTTATGGTTTCCAATGAAACTGTTTTGTTCTTCGTTATTACTTTTCCTTTGTCTCACACCTCTGTTTACTGTCTCTAATATGCATTTCTCCTACTTTCTTCTCTTCCTTTGTGTGCTACATGGAGTATGGCGACTCGAACTGCCGCACATATGTGCAAAGTTCTATGTCGAAAACCGACCGACCGACTGATCGGTCATTCAATTCACAACTATTCAAATATTTAAAATCCAAACAAGAAAAACCCAACTAACCTTCATAAGGTATCGAATAGTTCCACTTGAAACCGTGTTAAAACATATATTAACTTGGAGAATCTTTCTACTGGAAAAATTCTACAACGCTTAACTATGATTTTGTAATTCCAAGAAGTTATAATCACATATATTATACACTGTGAAAAAATTAAGCAATTAAATAATCAGTTAGGTAGTTTCATTGTGGAACGAGTAGACACTGACACCCAATAAACTAGTCATTTGTATGAACTCACAGACAGGAGAGTACATCTAATACTTACAATATTACTTGATGGAAAGCTGGATATCAATCGCATCAGTTTACAGAGCTTGGATAATTATTTCCGAGGAAAACATAGGAATATATGGTCTTAAACTACAACTGCTCCTTATCTGTTGAAAGAATTAAAGGGAAATTCTTAGGACACCTAAAAATAAACAATTTTTCTCATTCCTTTCAGTTTCGAATAGAATATAGAGACACAAGCTTTGCTCTTTGAAGCTGCAGTAACTGTAGTGTCATTCTGTTTTATGCAGTGGGCTTTCTAGTGTCATGCCTAACCTTCCCTCTTTAATCGGCTTACTACTATCTAAACGAGACTTAGGAGTTCATCGACCGGGATGCCGGACCACGTGTAGCGTGGTCCTACCTACTTCTACAAGTAAGCAACAATTATTATTATTATTTCCTTTAATTCCTAGAGGAACATAGGGCTTCAACCACGCATCTCCATTGCGTTCGGTTCTCTGCTAGAGTTTTCACCTAGCTCCAAGTCTGCCCACATGCTTTCATCTCCTCTTCACATGACCTCCTCCAAGTCAGCCTTGGACGACCAACTCGCCGCTTCCCTTTCGGGTTCCACTCGAGCAATGGCTTGTCTAGCGATGTCACTTGATGATTTCCTCAGAGTATGGCCAATCCACTTCCATTTATTCCTGCTTATTTGTTGCGCAATCAGTCCCTGGTCGGTTCGCTCCCAGAGGTCCCTATTGCTGATCCTTTCTGGCCATCTGATCTTGAGTATTGAGCGAAGGCAGCTGTTTATGAAGGTCTGCAGTTTGTTTGAGGTGCTCTTTATGACGCGCCAAGTCTCTGATCCGTATAGCAGCACTGACTTCACATTGGAGTTGAAAATCCGGATCTTATTTTTGACGCTGAATGCTGTTGACCTCCACACAGACTTGAGAGTAATGAAAGCTTGTCTTGCTTTCCCGATCCTTGCTTTGATATCCTCGTCAGTTCCATTTGTAGTTGAAACGATGCTTCCCAGGTAGGTAAAGGAGGTTGTTTCTTTCAGGTTCCTCCCATTTATGCTTATTGTTGTCTGTTGTAAGCAACAATTAAAACAATATTATTTCACTTTCGAATATTAGAAGTTTTCAAAGTAATGAGAAAGAAATATCTTCTTAATTCATGAACTCACCAATACTTGTAATGCACCAGGTGACACATGTGTTTGTAACTCTTCTTTCCATTGTTGCCAAATATGATCAGGGGAGATAATCAGCGTAGCTTTTGAATATATTCGAATCTAAATAATTTGTATGCAAGAATAAATAGTCTCGCAAAGTATGCTTAATCATGACTATCAATAAACTATGAAACAAACAATAAATAATATTTCCAGAAATTGTTGAATACAGTATAAGACGGGTTTATTCAAGTCTGTTTATATATATATATATGTACCTGACAACCTGCTTAAATCACTGGGGTTACCTAATTTCCTATTCATCAAAATGCATCTTATTTACACCACTTCGTATTGTTCTAATTATCCAATTATGTCTTTGAATCACAATCTGTACTGATGTATATTTTCAAACTGGTTTCAAATCTACCACTATGGATTTCTCGAAGGAAATGGAGAAAATGTATAGCAGGTAATTAGAGCGTATTTTGGAGAGAACAATACAGCTTTATCAAAATTGATATATCACCAAGGCGTAAGTACTTAGCAATAGAATAAACTGAGAATTCTACAACATGAATTAAAGTATTTCTTCAGAATAAAGTTATTACTATAGTTTAACGATATTCCAGCATTTATGATTTAACCAAAGATATACGTTCTATCTAGTCGTAACTACAACTTGTTACAATTTCTGGCCGTTAATTTATATTAACAAGTGAAGATAAACAAAAATGCATAAAGTTAAACTGAAAATTCAACAACTGAAAATTAATCCAATACTCACTAGTCACTGACTACAGGATGAAGTTACCTGTAATTACAATGAGAAGTCGTGACAAGTGAGACCCAACAGGTCAGGTGTGAGGATTAATACGCATCGATGACATTGGTTGACTGTCGCACTATAAATCGTAAGTTGACAGAAGTTTGAATTAGTGGGCTTTTAGATGCCGTCCCAGTGGCTGAATGGCCAACGGATTCGCTTTGCAAATCGAAAGTCTTGGGTTCGATCCATGGTGAGGTCACAAGTGCGTACTGATGAACAGTTACAAACTAGGACGAAACAGCTGTTTAGTAATCCTTGGTTTTCGATGGTTCCCTAACTCATATTAATCTGTGATCAATCTTGAGAGATCAAAATGAAAACTGTGCTTAAGAAAATCAACGGATAGTTTATTTTATTGGTTGTATTGGTTGTTTTCCTTTGTTTTTAGAGTATTGCACCGGAAAATAGGCTATTTAATTCAACGTTAAAGCAATACAAACTTAATTAATTCATTAAAAGTTGAGAATTATAACGCATGATTCTCAAAAGTTACCACGTGCACAAATTTTATTTTTAATACCCTCTCAAAAGCAAGAATGACAGTTTTGTAGATCAAGATGAATTTATTGTGTTCGATTGTCTCAACCAGACACAAGTTATAACCCCATGTAGAACATTGGAGTTCAAGCTTGAGACTGTAAACTTTCCGTAGCCATGTTGTTTTTCACGGAGTCGGGTTACCAGTGTCAGGCGCAAACTTCCATCTTCTACTAACTAGTGAAATAGGTGCGGTTTAAGAGTGTGTCGGCCGGGAATTGAACCAGGAATTATGTCTGTGATTGGTCAGTATTCTACCTCTAAACCACTGACGCAAGTTATATAATGAAGAAAATGATTTTTTTAATGACTAATAACATATTTTAAGGCTGATAAGTGAATGGCCAATTAGAAAGTAAACACAGTTGATTGAAAGTTAACCATTAGACGAAAGAGGTAATGAGAACTCTTTCATCTTCAGTGCTGAAGATGTTGTCTAGAAGGACAACGAAAGCTTTGCGATTAAATCAACCAGCCTAGAGAACACAACTAGTTCAATATCATCCACCTGAGCTGCAAATCTTCTCCATTATTTCAAAGTCTTACCTTGATTGATTCACAGTTCTTATAAAATAAAGCTAATGTAATAGGTGTAACTAATACACTTAAACTCGTAAAAAGGTTTATGTTTCAGCTATCAAACTTAAGAACGAATGCTTGTTTTTGGAGCTATTAAACCTTAAACGGGTAGATAACTCTTGTTAACATGAACATAACTATCTTTAAACATGTACTGTTACTCAAAATATATATTTGTGATGAATAAAACTTGCAATTATAATTTATCAATCAAAAACCCACCTTGGTCCAACACTGTGGACATACATATCCCACTTTAACTGGAAGGCGATTTATATATTCTTTTGGGTTATACTGAACACACGCCGCGTGCTGACCAGGGCCATTGCATAGGGAACAGTTGACGACATCAAAGTTTTCAGTTTCACTTACACCACCACAAGTACAAAGAATGTGGTCGTCATTAAGCCGTTCATTTATTATACCGGGATCGTTTTCAGAAATTTTTGAATGGTTCAAATCAAATGGTTGGTCCTCAAGTGATCGTAAATGGCCACCTACTTCCTTCCAATCATTTAATGGGTGGTTTAAAATCAGAGAAATAACTTCCAACGTCTTCCCAAGACCCATTTCATCCGCCAAAATCCCACCGGAACCGGTGTACTCAATTACCGGCAACTGCTTGGTAAATCTAAGGAAATTAATATACAATTTAAAGAAGGCAAAACGTTAAGATCTACACTTAATGGGATAGAGGGATCTTTTAATGATAAGGCAAATGTATGTTTTAGAGGAACTAGGCAAAGAATAAATAATCCGGTATATTCTTCCTTTAGATTTGATGACAATATATTCCCTATTTACTTGGATACTTAAATAAAGGTATGACAGATGAACTTGATAATAATTAGAAGAAAGCCAAAATGTTTCTCAAGAACTGCTAGTATATAAATGCATCCGGTGATAAGCCACACCTACTGTATGAGGGCTAATGATACTACTTGGATGCCCAAACCTCCATGGGTGGAGCGGGGTTTGGACCCATGACCCTGTGTTTGAAGTCAAACTCCTACACTAATGAGCTTGTAGCGGTAAATAAATCCCCAAAATTATTGACCACAGCACACTCATCACTCAACATTGGATGCTGACCCTCACTGTTCAAGTCAACTTGTTTAGCTGAAAGCTTTCGGTCAAGTATCCACGCCATTTAATACGCCGTCGTGTCACGTTCGTTCGTTCGCGCACGATCCCTAGCTAGTTAAGCAATCATCTCGCACTCCGATTTGGTCCCGAAATATAACTCGTAATTTGGATGATTAAATATTGTCTTTTGTTTCGCTTTTGGTCTACACGGAACGAATACTATAGAAGTTGTGGGTATTAGATCTTGCGTTAGTATACTTCGTACTATCCGTGAACGTCAATACCGTCAGTCTCTAAAAGCTATAGATACATCAATGAAATAAATATTTGAAATGAAGTGCTGAGTAGTTACACTCTTAGGTAAACAACTATTAAAAACTGAAAAGGAATCCACCAAAAAGATGTTTTCCACTTACTTGTAACTGAGGACAGACTTGACAAGTCATTTTATGGCTGTTAAAAAGATTCTTCAGTGTCTTAGGAAATAGAAATACTACTTACAACTAAATCCTGTTGAACATTATCTAATATCACCACCCTGAATGAGGTAAGAAAGCTAATACCAACCATACTAGAGATGTTGATTGACTGACTGCCCGAGTTTCAACATAGAACTGTACAAAAGAGCGGTAGTTCAAGTTACTAAATTCCACATAGCACGCAAAGTTAGAGAAGATAGAGAGAGAAAAGGATTCAAAAGGAATAAAATCAGCAGAGATATGCAGGAGAAAGAATGGCAGCATGAAAAAATATGAAGGTTAAATGGAGCTGGGAGATTACGAAGAATGACTGGATGTGTGCCACTAAGGACAATTTCAAGCCATAGCGCCAGTAGTCTCCAACCGGCTTTTCTTATCATTCCGATAACTCCAAACAGGCAGTATACACTGCCTTAAGTGGCTCAAACCGAGACCTTATAGACTGATGCCAGATTATTGTTGTTTGACTACCTCTGATCCTTTCCCAACCTAATCCTATATCATCTAACATTGCTCACTGAGGAAGGCAGTGCCCCAGCATACACAACGGGTCTCCTAGTCAGCTTATTCGATGTAGCATCAAAACTTTACTAATTAACTTCCCTTCCTTAACTAATACTAAGTCTAACCTCATTATTAATGACCATGTTATCATTACCAAAGCAGATAGAATGCAAATATCTTTAGTTAAAGATAAGTAGTCCCTTCAGGTCTTTCACCTTCGATGATTGTCTCACAGACATAAATAAAGAGAACTGCTGAGCAGTTCATATGCCCTTTGGTCGATAGCCAGATATCAGATATATGCCAGAGATGATGTATTTCGACAAAATGCCATACGAACCTTTTGTATCCGTGACTTCCCACATAAGTGAGGTATATAACAGGCTCAACCGCTTCACTACATACGTTTAAACGACGGGTTCGTACGGACTAGTCCTGCAGCATCATCTTAAATTTAACAAGGACGAACCACATTCCAAACATTCTAAGATATCCGTTCAAGGTGTTCAGAAGACTTAGCATCTTGTCAATATTCACTTAGAAAATAACATCCACAAACTTTAAGCCGACAAGACTGTTTCCTGATAACAAGTCAATCCCTAAGTCACTGAAGTTATTCATTACATCTATGATGATGTTGAGTGAAATACTCTGAAAGCTGAATCCCAGGAATATGCTTTTATTAAAGTCCTTCAATCAGATGAGGTAAGACGGAGAAAAAATTTCAGAATGTAGCAATAGTGACTTGGTAAAGTTAAACAGTTAATATATCTACATACTTTATTTCAAAAGTTTCACTTCACAAAGAAATAGTGTCATACATCAGACGCATATATATGTATATATATATCATCCATGTCACACAAAAATACACAGATATTTGTATGCCAGTATTTATTAATGGTATTGGTTAAAGTCAGTTCTACTAATAAATTCCTTCAATGCAATAAGTCCGTATAGTAAATGTTCAACTGATGTACTTCTGTATAGGTTTAGTGATCAACAGACTGAGTGAATGAAGTCAAAACGAAAGCAGGAAAGCTGTATTCATTAATTTTCTTTTAGCTGGCACCGCATAATGGTGAGGTCCAAACTTCACTCCTATCATTATTCGAGTGAAAACTTTACAAACACCAACTGCTGTCTTAGGAAGCAGTGACACCCAAAGTTAGCAGGCCGTTTTTTTCAGAGCATCGAGGTGTTGTCACGAATTTAACTGGTTTGTGTAGGGTGTTTTTTTTTCATTTTTCACGTTCCGAGTGAAACACAAGGCCTCAAGCTCTGAAGTTTAAGTAGTGTTGGCGTCGTCCCTACGGGATGGGGTCGTTAGGCACAAGCTCAACCTACTCTTCAGAGCTCACTACCAGCTAGGTGAGATTCGGGAGCTCATCAGCCGGGAATCAAACCCGGTCTACCAAGCGTTCCACCATTAAGCCACCGACGCACTTCTGTGGTACAGATTTTGGTTATAAGATATTAAACACAAGTGGGATCTCGATTCCCCACAACAACTAGACACACCAAACCGGTTTTAGACGGACGACTGTTAAACAACAATATATATATACCTCGGCAGAATTAGTTTGGATGAAAATCTATGGTTATTAACGAATATTTTGTTTAAAGGTTTTAGATCACTCCGGCAAAGTTGTAGAATGAGGTGAATCGAATAACTTAAAACCATGCTTATTTATTGTATTCCATGGTGATACTCATCTCTGTCCAAAAGCAAGAAAATTGTATGGAACTTACAGTCCAGAGTAAAGACAAAAATGGAGCACATTTTTGTCGTTTGGCAGCTCAATGTTAATGAACATTCTCTGCAACACATCATCTTCCAATGAAAACCCGTTGCATTCTTGATAATGCATCCACTTAACAGCATCGCATTGATAAGGACGCAGCAGTGTGAGTAGATTCTTATGCTGCGGGTTAAGGGAGGGAGAATCCCAGAAGACTTTCGTGTCCATGTGATGGCTTTGGGCAATATTATATAAAGATTTTAACATTATTACAAATTCAAATTGAGTCTCGCATTGGTGTTCATACACAAGTGATTTACAAGATGAAGGGAAATTGGCATTTCCGCTACACAACAGTGTTATAAAGTCATGCAGCTTTTCATACTGTAGACCAGATATGGGCTTGGAAGCGAACTCAAAAGTTTCAGAAATAAAGGATTCCTTTAAGTAGATATCCAGATATATTGAGTTCTGTTCGACGCGGACGTGACACTGGAGACTGGAAGAAGACGCAGCATACAGAAGAGGTATGATTAAGCCAGCGTCTGAAACAATATATTCCTTTACGTCGCTCTCATGAACAAAGAACAAAAGAGATCTATCATTGAAGTATAGAGTGATTTTATCGGAAGAATCAACAGCCGCTGATAAAAGACCACTGGCTGGCAATGTAATTGTCTGGAGGAGACAATCAGATGTGTTTTCGTGGCGACGGAGAGATATGTTGTGTGGATAAAGTTGTAGTATTTCTTTTTGTTCATTGGAAAGTATTTTTTTGTTTACTGACGTATTGCTCCTTTTGACAACATTTATACCCAGATTTGGATGATACAAGAAACTTCTTGAATTTCGTTTAATCTTAGACAGGAACAATGGTGAGCGTTTCACTCGCATTATAAGCGAACTGTAGATACGCTCAGTTGCTACTAATTATTACAAAACACCAAATTATGTTAAAAGATTTCTGTTGTACACGGAGTTACAGATTACCGATGATTATAAGATATGGCCTGAAATTTCATACAATTAGTAAAAAGAATTTTGGCATACCGGAAGTATCTGTGACACAGGAAATAATATTATCGCGATAACAAGTAAGCACTCGGTACGCAGATTCACGAGTGAAGCACACTTTGAAATTAAATTGTTGTTCAGGCACTTCAAGGCCACAGACATTTGGTGAAGTCAAACATAATTTTAACGAAGACCTTGAAGGAGTTGAATACAAGCGTGTTTTAGATACTGAGGTTCCTCACATTATCAAACCGAGTATGGAAAGTGTAGCGGTAAGTAATTCCACAAAATTATTGACCACAGCAATTATCACTCAACATTGGATGCTGACCCTCACTGTTTAAGTCGACTTGTTTAGCTTGAGGCTTCCGGTCAAGCATCCACGCCATTTGGTACTCCATCGTGTCACGTTCGTTCGTGCACTAACCAGTTAAGAAATCAGCACGCAATCCGTTTTGGTCCTGAAATATATCCCGTAATTTGGACAACCAATTCATTTGTTTTGCTTTGCCTTTGGTCCAGGAGAAACGAATACTGTAGAAGTTGTTGGTAAAAGATCTAGAACAAAATATTTAGAACGAACAATTGTTTTCAATAAATTCTTCTTCAGGCTCTACAATTATAAATCCATTAATTTAAGCATACAATAGCCAGTAAAGGCAAATTATAATCATATCAGAAGGGATAGAACAATAGTCAGATAGTTTTTTAATATGCATGGTCAATGAGAACATGGGACAAAATCAGATGAAGTAATTTAATTTAATGATGTGTATATATATATAAATATAGTCAACAGAAATACAGGTTTCGAGAGTGTGTGTAATCAGGGTGTGTGAGACAATATGAAAATAGACCAACGAATTGGGCGGACTAGACATAAGTTCAAGGTTGAAAATAACGACAGTAAGAATGATTGCAAAATAATAACGATGATATGGTGTAAATTACGCGTACTATTGGTGAATGATTGTCAAATAATAATAATGAAGTGGAATGAACAGGATTTCGTAAATACGATAGCAAGTTAGAAAAGCACTATTTAAACCTAAGGTAATAAAATCATAAGAATGGTTATGAAATCACAAAAGTCGAAAATGAACGATTGTCAGTGAAACAGAGGAATAGAAGAAGAAGGAAAGAAAAGAAAATTGTGAAAGGAATTTATAGTGTTAATGGAGGATTTGTTGGCTTTATTGTAGGCCAAGGTAAACATAATGGTTGAACATACTTCTTCTGTATGCAAAGAGATGGTCTTCTGGTATTAATTGCCACCGCTTCAGCTACTGATAGAAGACGCACTCGAGCTCCTCTAGATAAATTACTAGGAACGCGGTAAATAACTGAGAACGCCTGGTCAAGTTTTATCTGGTGTCCAGTATCTACCAAGTGGGCTAAGACTGCACTATTTACACACTTGGTTACTCCTTTACTCAACCATACAGGTATATGTTCATGTGCGCGCATGGATAAAGCCCTCTGAGTACGGCCAATGTAACTAGCTCCACATGAGCAATTGAACTCATAGATGCACATTGATGAGGCCATCTTTGGTAATTTATCCTTTACTTGCTGTGTGAGTACTGGTTTAGTTGAGAAGTTGAGTACCAGTTTAGCTGCAGGAAATGTTCTATCTACTGCTCTATTAAGTCGACATTTTAGAATGTCAGCTGCAATTTCCCCTTTGTAACTTAACTTAAGATACAAAGGTTTCTTTTCTACGGTATCCACCTTAACCTTGTCTGCAGGTATTGACATATGCTTTTTTAGGAAGCTCTGTGGATATCCATTTTCTTGTAGTGTGAGTTTCAGTTTGTGCATTTCTTCCTTAATGCATTCGTCTGAACATATACGTTTTATTCTATAGCTTAGACACTTAACTTAGTTTTTTTGTACTGAATAGGTGCGAAGCTATGGAAATGGGTGTACTGACCCGTCCAAGTTTTCTTTCTAAGTAGTTTCCTTTGTAGATACCCGTCTGTCTTCATGGTAAGGAGGACGTCCAGGAAAGGTAAACTGTTATTGTCTTCTTCTTCACGTGTAAACTGAATAGTTGGGTGAACACTATTAACAGCATTGAGAAGCTCTTGTTTATTGAGATTTATATCACAAACGATAAAGGTATCATCTACGTATCGACAATAATGGTCAAACCCTTTAATCGTGTCTTTAAGTGGACCGTTTTCAAGCTTTGCCAGGAAAATATCCGCTAGCATAGGGCCCAGAGGTGATCCCATGGCTACACCATCAACTTGTCTATAGAAACCATTATTGAACATAAACTGAACATTCATAGTGCATTTCAATAATAATTCTTTGACTTTTTCGGATGGGATTCCTACATCTATCTTTCTTTCTATCAGCCGGTCACATATGTAGTCGACTGTTTCAAGCAGTGGGACGTTGGTGAATAATGATGCTGCATCCTGTGACATCATTTTCTTTCCCTTTACATTCAGGCTTTTGGTAGTTTCCACAAAGCTAAATGCGTCTTTTACACTGAATTTGACTAATTCTCGATGTAACGGCTCTAGTGCCTTTACCAACCACTTTGCTGTGGAATGATAAGGTGATTGACACATATCTAAGATGGGACGTAGTGGTACTCCCGGCTTGTGGACTTTCGGTAAACCATAAAGTCTTGTGTGTGCGTACCTGAGGGTTTCAATTCGTCGAGTGTATCTTTAGGAATCAGATTACTCTCAACTAATGATTTTAGCGTTTTAGCCATTTGGCGTTCGGTTGCCTCAGTTGTGTCTTTACGGCTGCTCAGCTTTTGAAATTTCGTATGGTCGCTTAGAATGATATTCATTTTGTCTAAATAATCACTCTTATTCATGATAACTGTACCAGATCCTTTGTCAGGTCTAGTTATTATCAGATTTTCGTTCTTTTTGAGGTCACGTAATGCCTCTCGGTGTTTCTTTGTTAGGAGACTGTTGGCAGGATGTTTGCTGTTCTTAAACTGGTAACAGGAATCGACTAGGGTACTTTTAAATCTTTCTAGCTCATACTTGGACGAAGGAGTTAGGTCGCTTGTCTGGGCAAATAGGTTTTCAGATTGAATATTAGTCTCTAAATGATCAACCTGATTACGTCTGTCACAGAATTTTAAACCGAGAGATAAAGCTTCAAGTTGTGTCTTATCAAGGCATACAGAGGAAAAATTGAAAACGTACCGGTTATAGTCAACTGGAAAATTAGTTTCAGTCGTTTCTGTATCTAGTCCTTTGGTTAATAATATCAATTTCTTGCTTTCTCGAGATTTTAAAACTTCATTAACGTAGTCAATAAATAAATCTTTCAGGTTCTGAGGAAGTTCATCGACGGCATACAGTCTTTGTGAAATATTTCTCTCTAGTTCGGATATGTAAACTTGAAGGGATTCGATTTGATTAACGGCGAATCGCTTTAATGACTTTTCGTTCGGTCGTGTTTTGCTTCAACGAAGGGATTTTGAATATAATTTAGGATACCGGTTGTTCACAATACAATTTCGAATAAATTCCACGTTCATTTTCGCTTCTGTGAGCCTAGCACCATACTTCAGGTACTCATTGAGTGCCTTTAGAGCTACGGTATGCTCACTAGATTTCAGTAAATTGAATATTCCCATAATAAAAGATCTTGCGTTAGTATACTCCGTACAATTCGCCACCATCGATACCGTCAGCCTCTAAAAATGTAACTTTGGAAGTGGGGCGTTGATATGTGGCAGCCTGTCGACGGCAGTAATTTCGTGTGCCCACGAGTGAGATAAACAAGTGATTTGCTCGCTTGTGATTGGCCAGTTTGTCATTCAAGTTGCGCTAATTTCAAACATCATTTAGCTGCTTGGTTTAGTTTGCAGTTTCCAGGAGAGTTGTATCAAGTGAGATGCATAATTGAAAGCACATACTATTACAGCTCATGATAGAAATGATATACCAGGGGATTTATTTGCTGAATTCAATGAATTCATCCCATATCAATATCTAAGGACTTCACAGGAGTGTCAAGAATGCAAACAATGTTCCGAAGAGGTGATAACTTCATGCAACTTCAATTATCGCTTGACTTCTTTTTCAGAGATCTTTAAATTAGTATAAAATACACAGCGGTCTGGTTAATCATAATGAAAACGGCATGGTTGATGCAGCATATAAGTATATACTTGTGTATATGTAGGTAAACCTACATATACTGTATTCTTGTCACGAAGATCGGAAAGCAGGCATCAAATGTCTCAGTAAGCAGTATAATACATGTAGGCTACATGTTTTTAGTTGACATAAACTGGGTCTCCTTTCACTTTCCGAACTAATCTTGAGTTCATTTGGAATAAGCTAGTTGACCATATCAGTATTGCGAGAATACTGTGAAAGTAAGTAAACACCTGCTTCATAAGATTAAGTGATACATTTCATTGATATGATTGTATTATTATGAGTCGTCTATCCAAGTTAATGATGAATTCGTTGCGATAATAATACCTATTAATGTTTTCATAGTCACTATGAACATGAACGTTATTATTATTGCTGTTAAAACTCTTATTATTTGTCATAAAGCCGTTGTCACTTTGTGGTGAGAGCAAGCTGCTAGCCAATTGGTAGACATTGATCTACGCTGATTGGTAAAATTAATCTAGGCTGATTCAACAACCGATCACAGCTGACCTAGACGTGGACAAATATGATTCGCAGACAAGTGGCTCGCATTTCCGAGAAATATGGAAAACGAGAAAGCAGAAGACTGCGTTTGTTTGCAAACAGCCAATCAGAAGACCGCCTTCTTTCTGCGGGCAGAAGCCTATTAATGTACGTAAAATACATATAAATACCTGTTGGTTTTCGCAATAAAACTGATCTGTTGCCTGGCCCTTGTCTTCTGTTGTTACAACTTTTGTTAAAATCTTTGTTCAAGCTTTGCAAACTACTGCATAACTTGTCGTAAAATAATTTTTCAGTTCATGATGTTTCGATGGACCCACTAGATATCAACCAACGATAAATCGCGAAGTCCCTCAAGTTTAGTGAAAACTATTTAGCTATATATATATTGTTTGTAAAGTGATTACTTGTAAATGCTCATCAAGAAAAATTTTTATTCAGATCATACATGTACCACCCAAGTTAATAATGCTTTCCTTAAACCTTTT